TTTTGTTATTGTCCATTCCCCATACCTGTTGAACCTCAAGAGTTTGCAGGAGTGAAGTCCTGACAATTTCCAACTTGGTATCTTAATTCACTTGCAGATATGTTGGTAGGCTTTTTGTGAAGAGCACTAGTAAACCAATAGAAATTCTGGCAAAGCTAAATCAAATGGCTGGTTTTGCTCCTGAAGAAGAAATTGAGGTCTATGAGGTTCGTTGTCTTGATCTCCTTGTCCTGGCTAGTTGGCTTTAGACATTAATCATGAAGTTTTTATGGGTCTCGTTTAACGCTCTGAAGATTTTACCTGCGGGCAAGGGGCTGAATTTGGTTCAAATTTAGCAGCAAAAATATTTCCTTTCTATTTGTTTCTTTTCCTTCAATTTTGGATGAACTCTTCATCTTTGAATATCACCTGTTGCTATGGTTCTGTTCAGGAAATAAAATTTGAGCCTTCAGTAATGTGTGAACACCTTGACAAGAGGGCCTCATTTCGGCTTAGTCAGGTTTGTAGTTTGTTACTGTGCGTTGATATTTGTCTTCTGGCTATGAAGTTGCTAAACTTTTGGTTCTTGTCTTAGATTGAAGATGGAGATATAATCTGCTTCCAGAAATCACTTGCTGAGAAAGAGGAATTTCAATATCCTGATGTGACTTCATTTCTGGAATATGTGCACAATCGGCAGGTATCCTTGATTTGAAGTTAAACCTATGGATTGTAGCAATTAGTTGCAGCAGATGGTGTGTTAGTAATTTGGAGGTTTTGGCACTATTTATGTTGAGTATGTTTGAACAAGAGAAAACTCCATAGACTTTTTTGGCACGATTTATTTGTCGATAGTTTTCTTTTCCCTTCGCTACTTTGTTTCTTATGGGATTTGTATGTGTGTGGAAGATCAGCCATGGTAGCTTGCTGTACTCTGTCAAGGGGAAATTTGGTGTTGATATCCATTTCCATTGAACTTGTTCCTTTTGTCCAGTTTAAACCTTATTTATTTTTCAACTTGAAATTGTGTAGCATGATCTACTTTTGCTTGTACATCAATCCTCAGTTCATTTGTGGGTTTTGAATGTTTTGCAGGTAGTTCATTTTCGATCTCTCGAAAAACCGAAAGAGGACGATTTCTGTCTGGAATTGTGCGTTACTGAACCTCAACTGTCTTTTTCTTTATGATAGTGTCTATATTTTTTTGCCCATTGATTACTCCTTTATGATGTGATATCTCATCTTTTGATCATCTTTTCAGGTCAAAGTTGCATACTTATGATGAAGTTGTGGAGCGAGTGGCTCGCCAAATTGGCTTGGATGACCCCTCGAAAATCAGATTAACATCTCACAACTGCTACTCTCAGCAGCCTAAACCACAACCAATTAAGTACAGAGGAGTTGATCACTTGTCGGATATGTTAGTCCACTATAATCAGGTAAGTTGCTCTCTCTCTCTCTCTCTCTCTCTCTCTCTCTCTCTCTTAAGAGACATTGTCGTCACCATCATCTCGGTTTTCCCGTCCTGTATTAAGCAGTTACCACTGGTTTGCTATTGTTGTTAACAGACCTCTGATATCTTGTATTACGAAGTTCTGGACATTCCTCTTCCGGAATTGCAAGGTTTAAAGAATCTGAAAGTTGCTTTCCATCATGCTACCAAAGAGGAGGTATGTCTAAAGTTTTGATATAGAGTTTTCTTTTTGGGGCCTAAATTAGTGTCGTGATTTTCAGGCCCTTTTTACTGACTTTGTTTGAGAGCTTTTACCAGGTTGTAATCCACAATATCAGATTGCCTAAACAGAGTACGGTTGGTGATGTTATTAATGAACTTAAAACCAAGGTGAGTGCTTTCTCTCTGATTTTGAAGCATTTCTTACATGACTGATTGTTTTCTGGAATTTGATTTGGGGTGTTTCTATATTTAGCTTGTTTAGTGAACCTTGTGCTTTGACCTTCTTTAGTACATCTTTTCTTTTTTTGAGAAAATTCTGTTGTAGCCCTATTTAAATGCCAAGTATATTTAACATTACTCTTTTCTTTGAACAGGTTGAGTTGTCTCACCCAAATGCAGAACTACGGCTGATTGAAGTTTTTTATCACAAGATATACAAGGTATCGTACACAGTTTATATGTATAAATGTCAGCTGTTTGGTTTGTCTTTTGATAAAATTGATGCATGGTTTACTGCCGGGTAGTTGTGATGATACTGATAAAATAAAATCACTGTTTTTTTGTCAGACTTTCCCTCCCAGTGAAAAAATTGAGAACATCAATGATCAATACTGGACACTGCGTGCAGAAGAGGTAAATCCTCTCTTTCCCTTTAGGTCCGCTTGTTGGGAATTCTGATCTTGACCAGAGATTGTATTGAGTTTAATTCTCTTTTTTCATACAGATCCCGGAGGATGAGAAAAATATTGGTCCGCAGGACCGGTTGATTCATGTCTATCACTTCACTAGGGATACTGCACAGAATCAAATGGTAAAATTTTCCTTGAATGTCAGACTGATATTTTTAAGCCACCGGGGGCACCTCACTTTTTGGAGTTGTGGGGATGTTAAGAGATTGTAATATTTTTTCCTGTGTCTTCCGCAGCAAATACAGAATTTTGGGGAACCATTTTTCTTGGTCATCCATGATGGGGAGACCTTAGCTGACATTAAAGAGCGTATACAAAAGAAGTTGCAAGTTTCTGATGACGACTTTGCCAAGGTACCCCATGATGCGCTATATTAGATCAAAGAGCAGGAAAAATGCCCCAAAGCTCAAACTCTTTTTTTTTTGTTGCGCTCAGAGCTTTGTTTCTCATTCTCTTCTTGCTTTCTGTTGTAGTGGAAATTTGCTTTCCTATCTTTGGGCCGCCCAGAATACTTGCACGATTCAGATGTGTTATTCGCTCGGTTTCAGGTATTTCTCTCATAAGGTTCAGTTTTGCTTTGTTTTCCTCGTGACATTCTGTTCTTTTGGCTGCATTCTAATTTAAGCATTGTGTCCTTGTTGTTACCCAGAGGAGAGATGTTTATGGTGCTTGGGAGCAGTACCTTGGACTAGAGCACCCGGATACCAGTCCAAAGAGGCCTCATACAGCAAATCAGGTTTGTGCAGCTGCAACTGTTTTTAGATTTCATTAGGGCAGTAGAGGTGAAGTCTTTTAGTAGTGGTATTTTTAGTTTGAATCTTCTCCCTTGGAGGTCAGACTGCCTAACGTCACGTTGTCTAAACATTTCAGAACCGTCACACATATGAGAAGCCAGTTAAAATCTACAATTAGCCAGGAGACGATACAAGATTTGGGCGAAAACTGTTGCGCTGCTGAATGGATGGGATGTCTTATGTTATGTTCCTCTTGACCAATGGAAAACAGCCACGTTGCGGTGATTTTTCCTGTTTCCTCGAGGAGGCGAGCAGCAGTATATGCTATGCTGAAGGCAAACAAGTGCAGCAGTGGGAACAAAGTGAATTTTTCGGCGTTTGCAGTTCCTCGCTGAGCAGCTGTTGGGACTTGGAATAGAAGAATATGTCTCCCCTTGGTGTAATTGTGTGCTTTTCCTTCTGTCTCTATATCAGTCTTTGTTACTTGGAAGTGATATAAATTGTTGATAGGTGATGACACACCCTGCCTGAGCCTCCACCGAAATTTCGCTGTTACGGAGCTAAGGGCATTTCCTTTTTTTTTTTCCCGGTTAGGGAGATTGTTTGGAGGCACTTGCTCTGGTTTTCCCTCTCCAGACATCATAGCTACCAGTGTAATTTAGTTGGTATATAAATTAAAAAAAAAAAAAAAGATTTTGAGAGGCAGAGGTGGGAGTGTTGTATACTGGGTATAGTTATATTGAGATTTGAGAGCTTGACACTTAATTCCGCCCTCGTTTTTATGCTGTCATTTTCCTCATTTTTGCTGGGATAGGAATAATTGGGACGCCAGATTGATGTTTATCCATCTGAATTTATTCCTGAAGTTGAAGGAAACGATATTCAGTCTGCAGGGTTCCCCGCCAAATCCATCAAGCAAACGACCCCCAAGAGTCTTGATTTTTTTTTAAGATTCGTTAGGATATTGAACCATTAGTCATCTCCACGATCAGATGTTTCATGCGAATGAGCATCGGGCTTCATTTTGTTGTCTGTCTCTCGTCTACCTTTCAGACAAACATGAGCTGCTCTTGAAAGTAATCTAGAAAACCCCACTTGCTACTTACTACCTTCAATAGTTACTAAGGTCTTTGACGCAGCTTGGATGGTACATTTGGATTTTGGAGTCACCATCGTACCTCAATATGGATAACAACACGTAGCAAATGTATTGGTTTGGAACTAATTATCCCTCAGAGACACACAAGTTCATTCCTGAGTTTTAAGTAACTTACTTCATTGGCTCTCACATCGGCATATGTGGATGGCTAAATCCACGATTACCTGCAGAGAGAATGAATGAAGCAACCTTGTAACTGCCAGGAAAACACAGACATTTCATGATAGCAACAGACAACTTCAGACTTGCTCAACGGAGATTCTCAGATCTTTTGAGTCAACTAGCATCGGTAAAGTTTTGCAATCCAATCAGCAGAAACATTGAGGGCAAAGTTGTTACTCAACCAAGTAGTGCTACTCACCTCCAGATGTTAAGTTGGCAAGGCAAACCTCTGAAAAATATTAGTAGTCTACCCTGCAAGAACAGCATTGAAGAGAAACAACCCTGCAAAAGGGGATTTCCATTGAACTGAAAGCTACTAAACCCTGATCCTTCAAACCCTAGGAAGGAACAAACAGGCAACAGCCATACATAGATGCCTTGAAATACATACATTCTACTGTGATTCTACAGCAAACAAACTTGTAGAGCTAAACATTATAGTATTTTGACACTAGATAGTTGCGATACAGTGGATCTTCCTCTTGTAAACTCTTGATGAATGCACTCTTTCTAGGCTCCCTTTCTTTCCTTCAAGTTGGACTCTTACTTTCTTTGCATTTTGCCGCTACAAATAAGTATGTATAATATTATAATACTATTCAAGCGCCTGTAGCTCAGTGGATAGAGCGTCTGTTTCCTAAGCAGAAAGTCGAAGGTTCGACCCCTTCCTGGCGCGCTGTTTCTTTTGATTTTTTTTGCAAAGGTATCATAAAAAAGAAAACATTGCATTTGCATTCTCAGTCACAGAACTCTGAAAATGTACATCTCTTCTGTTTCATTTACAAACAGCTAAAAATCTGAGGGTTTATACACAATCTCTAAATGGCCCAAAATCTGCAAGGTTAGGAGAAACAGTTCCTTTTCAGTTTTCACCGATGAGTGAAGTGAAGTCTATTCCTGTTTTGTTCACGGGACGAAGATGTGGCCTCTGAGAGCATAAGCAGCCCTTTGAATCGCTCTAGCAGCCCGCCACACCTCGTGCTGGATAGCAGCTTCCTGCCCTGACCGGCCCATTGTCGTGCTTACCGAGAGTTCATGGATGGCGTCAGCTATTCCCGGGAAGAAATCCAGTTTGCTCTTGTAGTCTCCATGAGGCCCGTAAATCTATTCCAACAAGTTTCACGCCACATCATTTAGGGGAACACAGAGAGAACAATGCCAGAAATGGGAGGGGGGATTTTGGCAACTACTAATGATCTTACAAGATGTTTGAACCAATGCCTGCTTTGAATCCCATCTGCATCGAGGAAGCCTCGTTCCGTGAGCATCAACCGATCGTTCAGGGCCCTTTGCTTCAATGCTGTCAACCCATCTCTGCCGTCTCCTTCTCGAAGTTGCTGCAATGCGGGGGTAGAGTAAATATTAAGTATTTAATGGTTCATCAACCTTTCGAAGTGGCATTTCCCTTAAAACCAACTTACCTTGACCTCATTTTCCGCTTCTTTAGCAGCAGACGCAAATTGTTCGATGGCCGAAACTAGAGGGTGAAGAGAAATGGTACTACCGTCCAGTAAGTTGCTCAACTCGTCTGTGTACTTCTGTGAGGAGAAACCGGGAAAACTTTTGTTCAGTAATTTCTTCCATGGGAATCCGCAGAAGTAACTGCAACGAGAGGGTCATAGACATTGTTCTTACAGATAACTGTTGTGCATAGGAGACATAGTTGAATGGAATGATGGAGTCATCGGCCAAATGGAGTGCAATAAGTCCCCAGATTTCAGCGACTTAGAACAACAAACAAACCACATTTGCACATCGTCAAGCTGAATTGTATAATATACTCACCGTGATTGAATTACCGCTAAATGTTCTCAGGAGACTACTTACTGGTAACATGACGATGGAACAGTGGGTCGGCATGCTTCACCATCCACTCGTACGAGTCAAATGCAGTGTGATAGACTGGATATTCTGCAGAATAAGAATTCCCATCAGATTAGCCTACTTGCAGAAGAGAGGAGTAGTTCCACACTAAGATTCAAGAAACAGAAGCACGCGGTAAGTTTGATATTCAAACCTCTTCCGTAGAACAAATCGACGGAAGGAATCCCTCCATGTTGCAGAAACGGAGCAAAATCGGAGAACGCCCCACTGAGTCTCTCAATCTGCAATTCACCAACCACGAGGACTCTATAAAGTGTACAATGTAGTAGACAGCAATACAATTACAAACCGAAATTAACTCATGTCACAATCCTTACACTGGTAGCTTGGTTCATGGCTGCCCATTTGTCATATATCGTAGCCCCAACGAAATCCGGATCCTTAACCTGAAAAAATTAGTCACATCCCCACCCTGTAAAAACCGGATGAAACAAAACAGAAACATCCATATAATAGTGCCTCGAAATTCCCTCATTCGCAGTCTCACCTTCTTTGTAACCTCGAAAAGAAGTTCGTCGAGCTGAGGAGTGGCAGCAGCATTGAACCCGGGACCTTGAACAGCACAATCCACATTAAGATAGGCCACTGCCTTGGCACCCAAGTTAACAAGATTTTGTTCGACCCACTCCGTAGATCCTGCAAAGACCAATCAAACATTTTCCAACAAACCCCAAAAAGGATGCTTGTGTGTCAAGAAACCGAACATTCGGCTCTAAAAAAATCTCGAAATGGAGGGTGGGATGAAACATTACCTACCATACCGAACTCTTCCCCGTCCCAGCTGGACAGGACAATGGTCCGTCGAGGCCTCCATCCATTTCGCTGCAGAAGAGCGAACCTACGAGCAATGTCGAGCAACGCCGCAGTGCCACTGTTCGGATCCACAGCTCCGTATGTCCACGCGTCCCTGTGGTTCCCCATTACCACGTAACGATCGGGCTCTTCCAAGCCTTTTATCACGGCAAAGACATTCTGAATCGTCACCTCCTTCTTCTCTCCCTACGGCGTCGTTTCATGGTGAAAAATGAATCAACAAACAACATTGACCGGCCTCGTTTGACCAAATTCTAGAGATCGGGAAACTCGGCGCTAGGCGAGGCACGCGGGAAAAGGTTTGACAGCTAAAAGACAAAAAAAGAAAGGACAACAATCAACAAATAGCCGACCTGATACGTCAAGTTGACCACAGTTGGACCAGGACCGACCCGCTGAGCGACAATCCCGGGTCCGACCCACCCGGGCGGCGCCGTTTGCCCGCCCAGCGACCGCAATATGACGTCAGCGTCCTCAAACGACAGCGGCAGCGATGGGATCCTCGGAAACCTCCCGGACGCTTCCGCTTCCTCCAAACCCAACCTCTCTCCGCCTCCGCCGCCTTCCTCCGCCGCCGCTGCCCACCCGGGGCTGAGCGGGTCCCCCATTCCGTTCATCACCGTTCCTCTCTCCACCCCTCCGCCGCCGCCGACGAATAAAAGCACCGCCGCCGCGCCTTCCCTCTCGGCAACCCGAACCACGCCGCCTCTGCTCAGCTCGCCGCCCTTCCTCGCCAGCACCACGCGCCCCTTCACGCGCACCCCGAGCGCCGCCAGCTGGCGGTAATCCTCCTCGCTTCCGGTGTTGACGTACACCACCTCCGCGTGCGCCGCGCCCGACGGTGAGTACGCGTGGTACGGCCTCACGACGGCGCCGTTTCGCCCCTCCTCTGTTTCCCCTGTTTTTTTCGCTCCTTCCTCCGCGAGGGAGAGGGCGACGGCGGTGCCGTTGGGGAATCGGGCGGTGAGGGAGGAGCGGATTGGGTAAGAGAGGAGGACTCTGTACGCGGCTCGGCGCGGGTCCAAATTGAGGCGGCGGAAGTGGGAGTGGACGAATTCCGCCGTGTCGGCGGAGGCGGGGGTTCCGGCGAGGTGGGGGCGGAGGGTGAGGTGGTGGAGGTAGGCGGAGACGGTGGCGTTGGTGGAGAGGGAGAGGAATTGTTCGCGGAAGCGGAGGGGTGTTTGTTGGGGCGGTGTGAGGAAGTCGGCGGCGGCGGTTGTTGTTGGGCTGTGGTGGTGGAGGAAGTAGAAGCCGAGGGTGACTAGGAGGAGGAGGAAGAGGATAGTGTAGAGAGGCGGCGGCGGAGTGGACGGCGGCGGCTTGATGGCGGAGAAGAATGAAGTGGCGGCGGTGGTGGAGCCGTGGGGCTTGGCGGTAGGCGGAGGCATGTTTCTTAAACGATTTGTAGCCGACGGCGGAGCAAACAAAGAGATTTAGACGACGGGGAAGGGAAATTTTGAGTAGCCAGAAAAAAAAAGGAACTTAGCTGGGTAAATCAGACATGGATGTCTGATGAGCTTCCCAATAATCCCCCACTGAAGAATGAAAAACAATTAAGATATGATTAAATGAGAGGAGAGATTAGGGGGGGTAATATTGTCGTTATGTGGCGACAAAAACGTCATTAACATTTCAGAAATGGAAGAATATAATTATCTAGTTTGGCTGGTGAATTAATGTGATGGAGTCTGCTAATGAAACGCTCGTACGAGTAATTAGTTAGGACTTGAAAAACAGAAAGAGTCAAAGAGGTGAGTCGCACAATACTACCAAACAGTAGATAAGTGAAACGAACAGGAAGAGGAAGAAGGCGTAGCCAAGCCAAAAAGAATTCCAGCAGATGGTACGAACTACGAACTGGTCGGATGATGTCGTTTTCACGTGCCCACAACCCCACTCTTCTTACATAATAAAAGATAAATACTCACTGACCCACATGAACGGACACCAGAACACTCTCATTATACTGCCACGTAAATGTGTGTGCAGTGGAAACGTTTAAACTCGATTTGATCGAATATTTCGCCCTAATTTTGAACAATACCAACCTTTTTGTTATAGTTCATGTCTTCAAATCGCGCTTGATATTACCCCAAAAAAAAAAAAAAAAAAATCGACGCATGATTGTATCCGTGAAAGAGCCAAGGTCATGAGAATGAGATCGAGCCCACATGATAATTAGGTTTGTGTATCGTTTAATATCTCTATTTATATTATTATTATTATTAACTTTGTATATGGTTAGTTGGCACTTGGCAGGCATTGGCGTAACCAGAAATATAATTTTGTGGGGTCCAAACATAACAAAATACGAAGTTTGTCTCGATAGTAAAATCATTGTCTCAGGAAGAGGGGGTTCGTGGTTCTAAATTTATTAACCCCGCCTTAAAAATCCACCATTATAATGTATATTCATTTTCCAAGTGAGGTCCATGGACCCCACAACCCCCTCACCTAGCTCCGCCAGTGTTGGCAGAAGTATGATGAATCTTATTTTATATTATCAGTTGGTTAACCTTGATAAAATTGAATCTTATTTATATACAATTCATAATAAAATGTATATAAATATTAAAATTACTAGTATCTGTAATATATGATACGATGTCAGTTGAATATCTGTAACTACGATTTTATCCTTAAAATTGTAGTGGTGTCGTTTGCTGTCTGTTCATATAATGCATACAGCTTTGGTTGTTGGTTGGGCCGGTTCGAATCGCATGTGGAGCTCAGATTCTAGGAATAAATAATATATGCCGCTTACTGCGCGCTTTCATTGTCTTGGTTAGCCGGAACTAGAAATGACGTTTATAGCTGAGGGGTGCAGATTTCTTGCTATGTAGACTTGATTTTAGAATGACTCTTTTGCAATTCAGTCATCCTTATCTTTCACGATGTTCAATTAATTTTATAATGACTCTTCATATAAAAAAAACAACTAACAATCAATGAACTCTTCCAAATCCATAATACAACAAATCTATTATAAATCTAAAGAGTTTTAAACTCAAAATCCAACAAACAAAACGAGCACTAATTAATCACTCCCCCAGTCCCCCAAATTATCCAACCATGTATCTGCACTCTGCATCAGTGAGCAGGGCCAGGTAGGGATGGCAATGGGTAGGGTCGGGTGCGGGTTTACCTTATACCAACTCCTAACCCGCCGGGTAGAGCCTTCTAAAATACCCGATTAAATACCCACCGGGTATGAAAATTATATGACCATACCCTACCCACCGGGTAACCACGGGTATTCGGGTAACCATGGGTACGAATCATAAACTATGAAATTATACACATATATGCACATACATACTGTTGTCCATTAAAAATCCACACAAATAAAAATTCAAACACATAATAATTTTTCTTACTTCTACAATTCACACAAACATAATAATCGTCTACATCTTCATCATCAATAATGATAGCTAAACTCAATTTCTCAAGCTAAACTAAATTTCTCAAGGGAAATTGACACTTTGGTTAGCGGGACGGGTATAACGGGGCGGGTATTATCGATTACCAAACCCGTACTGTTGGGGGTGTTACTAAAGGACTGAGCGCACAGACTAAGCAGAGGGCGCATAATCGGCGATGCCCAACGCTCGATACCCGCTACAGGTATATAAGGGCTTGAAGCCCTCCAAAGAAAGGGACTTCTTCTCTCTCCTCACTTTACACTTTCTGCTATCTCTCTACACTCCATCTCTCTATCTACTCTCTCAACTCTCTCTACAAACCGACACTAACTTGACCGTCGGAGCTTAATCCGGGGGGCAACCCCGGCTCTTTCACAGGTTCACTCCCTCCCGACGAGATCAGACGAACGGATGACGAGTCAACCCACACCGACAAATCATTATTGTTCCTGCCTCAAGCTAGATGGTTCAAACAATTTGTTGGGGGTGTTACTAAAGGACTGAGCGCACAGACTAAGCAGAGGGCGCATAATCGGCGATGCCCAACGCTCGATACCCGCTACAGGTATATAAGGGCTTGAAGCCCTCCAAAGAAAGGGATTTCTTCTCTCTCCTCACTTTACACTTTCTGCTATCTCTCTACACTCCATCTCTCTATCTACTCTCTCAACTCTCTCTACAAACCGACACTAACTTGACCGTCGGAGCTTAATCCGGGGGGCAACCCCGGCTCTTTCACAGGTTCACTCCCTCCCGACGAGATCAGACGAACGGATGACGAGTCAACCCACACCGACAAATCATTATTGTTCCTGCCTCAAGCTAGATGGTTCAAACAATTGGCGCCCACCGTGGGGCGGATTTCACATTCGTTCGTTTGATTTCTGAGGGATGCGAGGTCAAAGAAAAAATGGGTAAACATATTATCCCTGAAACCTCCAACTCTGGCGTCCAAAAAGGAGTGAGAAACCAGTAAAAAGAAAAAGAAGAAAAGTTCCAGATCGGGCGACTTTTGGGGGAAGAAACAGAAGAGTTCGAGATCCTTCTTCTTCTTTCATAATGTTGAGCAGCAGCAGCAAACTGCACAACCCACCACTTGCGGTCGATCAATCTCCCAAAGGAAGTAGCTCTGGATCCAAAAGCCAAGAAGGAAAACCCAGTTCCAGATCTCGAAGATCCTTCTCCCAGATCCCAGATCCCAGTAACCCCGCCGGCGAAAGGTGTGCGCTACGCCAAAGCTCCGACAAGAAGAAGACGTCGCGGGCAAAACAGAGAGCTGAAACGGCCAACCGTAAAAGGAGCATGCGCAAAACGATTCGACAGCAGCTGCCGCCTCCTGCCTCTGCTGTTATCAATAGCGGCGCTACTCTCTTGTTTCTCCGGCGACAAGTTCCTCTCTGTCGTTAGTGACCATCGCCACAAAGAAAGGGATGAAAGCAACAGAAGAAAAAGAAAAGCTCTCGTCTCCATTACCCCCGCCGAATCTCTGATCTCCGATGAAGATTTCTACGGCTGGAGGTGGTGCCAGCGCTTCAATGAGAGAAAAAGAAGTATAGCTGTCCCGTCAGCTGACTGCAACTTTTCCCCCAAAAACACGTTACCGTCGCTTTATCAGAAAAAGCATTCGGGCACGAATATCGATATGCACAAAACTCGAGGCAGACCGATAGAGTTATCGGACAAAGGCATCCTTCGCGCGATCCCGAACCTGGGAATCCTGATCCCTCTTCGTCCTCATCAATGGCTCCCTTCGGTACCAAATTGATTTCCAGGTCATCCACATCCGCCAGTAAATCTGCCCTCAGAACCGGCGCTTCAAAATCCAGATCAACCAGCTCTCCTTCATTCTTCTCCAGCGCTTCTTCCGCCACTCCTACCCGCCGCTTCTCCACCTCCAGGATTCCCCTCTAAGCTGGGATGCGCGACGTCTTTGCTGCCGCTGCACAGCGCGGTGGCCACGGCGACGATGACGTCATGCTTGAGCACGGCACCGAGGAGTTCCCGTGCGCTCTCTCAGGGCACATAACACCAAAAGAAATAAACTTGGACGCCATGGCATTTAATTGAAGCTCCAGGAAGGCGGAAGCAGTTTGGGAAGAGGAGGAAACAAAAAGAAAGAGTGAGGGAGTTGGCGGCCGCGCGTCACTTATCTCCATCCGGCCTGCAGATCCGTCAGCCCGCGCCCGCGCCAGATGGGCCCACCACCACTCGCGGCCCGCTCCACCCTTCAGCTCGCGCCACCCGGCCCACTCGCGGCCCGCGCCACCCGGCCCACTCGCGGCCCGCTCCACCCTTCAGCTCGCGCCACCCGGCCCACCTTCCGCCTCAAACCCCACTCGCGCCCCACTCCATCCTTCAGTCGTGCGCGAGGCACCCCGAAAAAATCATGGGTGGTAGACAGGCGTCGAACCGCTGACCAACCATTCGCGTGCAAGCAAACGGAGCCAGTGGACTACGTGACAATTGTTGTCAAATGAGCGCGGAAGGTTTATTTTACCCTTTTGTTCGCGCCAGCCCGAGTAGCGGCCCGCACTCATGAATCGAAGTCCGCCCACAGTCTCGGCTCTCACTCCCATCCCTCTCGCTATCCCACGCGGATCGGCCCGCTTCGTTCACATGCCCAGCCCAACAGGCGCTGAACTCTTCAACAAAAAATTATCGTCGCCGCCAGCCTTTGAACCTGCGCCACTCTTCCACAAGACAAGCATCTTTACCAGCAGGCCACAAGTACCTTGTGTTTCAACGGTGTGGCGTCTGAATTTTAACATTCGCGCCCACCCAGTTCGCAAGAACAAAAACTTAGCAATAGTCCAGCACTATTCGCGCCCAGTTCCACGGAACAAAAAATTAGCAATAGTCCAGCACTATTCGCGCCCAGTTCCACGGAACAAAAAATTAGCAATAGTCCAGCACTATTCGCGCCTAGTTCGAAAGAACAAAAATTAGCAATAGTCCAGCACTATTCGCGCCCAGTTCCACGGAACAAAAAAAAAATTAGCAATAGTCCAGCACTATTCGCGCCTAGTTCGAAAGAACAAAAATTAGCAATAGTCCAGCACTATTCGCGCCCAGTTCGAAAGAACAACCTGCAAGCTACCACTCAGGATCTGTTTCAACGGCGCAGCGCCCGCCTTTCAACTACTCCTGCCGCCACTGCCAATATAAAGCTAAGTACTCTATCCCTCCATCATTATTAAATTTTTAAAATATTTTACTATCCTAAGCGTTAATGGCGCTAATGGGGGGCAAGACGCAAGAAGCTGGCACCGCGTCACTCAAACGCGCCACCAGCTGGGGGGCAACTGGGGTACATAGGCCCCACCCAAAATTACCGACAAAGATTTAAAAAAAATAAAATATAAGCTAGTGATGAGTTAAAACTCACCACCAGCTTGGGGGGCAATTGTTGGGGGTGTTACTAAAGGACTGAGCGCACAGACTAAGCAGAGGGCGCATAATCGGCGATGCCCAACGCTCGATACCCGCTACAGGTATATAAGGGCTTGAAGCCCTCCAAAGAAAGGGACTTCTTCTCTCTCCTCACTTTACACTTTCTGCTATCTCTCTACACTCCATCTCTCTATCTACTCTCTCAACTCTCTCTACAAACCGACACTAACTTGACCGTCGGAGCTTAATCCGGGGGGCAACCCCGGCTCTTTCACAGGTTCACTCCCTCCCGACGAGATCAGACGAACGGATGACGAGTCAACCCACACCGACAAATCATTATTGTTCCTGCCTCAAGCTAGATGGTTCAAACAATTTGTTGGGGGTGTTACTAAAGGACTGAGCGCACAGACTAAGCAGAGGGCGCATAATCGGCGATGCCCAACGCTCGATACCCGCTACAGGTATATAAGGGCTTGAAGCCCTCCAAAGAAAGGGACTTCTTCTCTCTCCTCACTTTACACTTTCTGCTATCTCTCTACACTCCATCTCTCTATCTACTCTCTCAACTCTCTCTACAAACCGACACTAACTTGACCGTCGGAGCTTAATCCGGGGGGCAACCCCGGCTCTTTCACAGGTTCACTCCCTCCCGACGAGATCAGACGAACGGATGACGAGTCAACCCACACCGACAAATCATTATTGTTCCTGCCTCAAGCTAGATGGTTCAAACACGTACCCTACCCTTTATTTTGAAACCGGGTATTATCCGTACCCGCCCTTAACCCGTCAAAGCGGGTAATTACCCTCGTTGACCGGTTACGGTCGAGTAGGGTACCCATGATTACGGGTTGGATTGACATCCCTAGGGCCAGGGCAGGAAGAGAGGTTGCTGCTGTGTCATATAGCATAATTATTAGGCACATGGAATCTATCAGTTATTTAATAATAATGTAATCAATCCCCATATCTTTCTTACATATTTATTTTTCTCCCCTTTCAAGGACAATATCTATCTTCCAGGCTAAATCTTTGAATGGATACTGAGAACTACTGCACTCTAGTCTAGAGCCTTCGTTTGTGGCCAGAAATAGACCAAGTTGGAGGATGGATCCATCCATCCCTTTCATGTCTTTATTTTGTTTACAATATATATTTTTCATGTCACAAAAACGAGGGGGAAAAAGAAAAGGAATTAAAGAAAATGGTGGTGGGTTAATGGAGTATGAATCCTATGCTGGTGTCTTGTTCCCAATCACAAAAGTTTCCTTTTTGTGTCCCTGGTCCATGAAATCGTACCGTACCGGCGGTTCAACCACGAAATACCAGTATCGGAAGCTAAACCGATAGACGGTATTTAACGGTACGACGGTTGAACTACGATAAAACCACGATTTTACCATAAAATACCCTATCGATAACTTTTCCGGTACGGTCTCCGGTACGGTTTCATGGAACATGCCCTTTACCTATATCTCTATATGCCTTCTTCTTCCTCCTTTCTGCTGCCGTCATCAAGTTTTGGGCTTATTATTCGGTAGTGGGAAGTGCAGAGCATTTGCTTTCGAGTCATCCAATCCAATGATCCATTCCCTTTTGGTCCTACTCGATCCACAAGGAAAAAGGATTCTCCAACTCACAGAACGTATCTGCCACCATTATTATATAGTAACTAACGTTCCTTGTCCCTATTGGTTAGTTTCAGCATTTCCAGTGCTTGCTTAGTTACGTGTATTCATTTATTCTTGTGCCCTCGATTCCTCTTATATACACAAAGTACCACAAAGTAGGAATGACAATCGAACTCAGATCCATCGGTATCCAATCCAATCTAATCCGGTCAAATGCTGATAAAAGATGTGCAGCTTGAGAAGATGTGCAACCATTAGGGGTGGAGTTTCGGTTACTGGTTAACCAGCTGGTTCAACCAATAACCGACCAGTTGTCCACTAACTGGTAATCGATCAATCGAAATTCGGTCGGTTGTCGGAGGCTGGACGAGATTGTTTTGGTTTTGGAGGTGGTACGGTTAACCAATAAACGAGATGACCAAAGCCTATTTCGATCGGTTTTCGGTTGGGGGCCGACCTTTCAATTAAGCGATAACCGACCGATCAATTACCAGTTATAACCAAAAGTAATCGACCGCCACCCCTAGCAACCATTCTAGGCCAAAATCTAGCTTTTCTGTGACTTCGGGTTGAATTTTTCTTTTACCCCGAAGGAGGAACCACTGAATTGTTTACCATCATATTAGATCAGTCTACCAAGGGTTGGTTCTTGTAAACAAAGTTTAGAATCAACTTGTTATCATTTTCAATTTCATTACCCCTCGACGTAAGACAATCTCACATGATAAACAACTCATCACGGTTAAACTCCATTCTACACGAACACGTTTCGCCTCCGATGAGCTTGCACGAACTAGTTGGATGAGACATTTGAGTCCAATTGTCTCGTGGTGAAACATCTGAGATAAAAAAAAAGTCCCTAAGTGCGAAAATGTGACAATTGGATCACCGAACAACTTGAAAAAGCCACATTTGACACATTTGAAAAAAGATTTAAGAGGTGGTGGCGAACATTTTCGAGGTGGGGGAATGACAAGCCTGCCATTTGGACTACTAAACAAAAGCCCAAGCAACAGAAGCCCAATTCACAGTCAGGCAGGTCAAAGATCTTTTTTTTTTTTTTTGGTCTGTTCTCAGCACAATTTGGGTCATATGATCCCCCAAAACATTCCATCACTGCCTGCTTCTCCACACCCTTCTTCAACTGCTGATTGAAGATAAACGTATTTGTTATTCTTTAGGCTTGGCAGTGCTAGGGTGTATTGAAACTACACCCTCTCCCCACAGAACCTAAACATCTAATCCACCTAAAAGAAGAATCTCACTTCTCAGACACCCATAATGGTGCTGATAGTGCCATAAACAGCGAACGCGAACCCACATACCATGATGAAGCAATCCAGAACTTTCCTCCAACGGGGCAGGGACGGACCCAGCAGTCTCAAGTGAAACAGCGCCGGCAGCACGAACGAGATGCACGCGCACACGCTGCTCCCCACGATCGACGAGAACGCACCGAACCCTGGCACGAACGACGCCAGGAATGCCAATGCCGCGATCAGAACTGCCCTGAACAAGTACATTCCCGACCTGCCTATCCATCTTGCCAAGTAGCCACCGCGATGATCATCATCGTCGTTGTCCGTCTTCTGGAACCATCTCGCGTTTCTCAGCTTCCCCTCCACGATCTCATTGATGGGGTGGACCATGATCGGGAAGGTGAACACCAGTCCCATGCACATTCCAATCTGGCGTCAAAGAACGGTTTCAGAAATTCCACATATGTAATCTCAAAACAATCCATAGGATGCAAGTATTTGAAAATGCAGTCAGGGCCCTTTCTGTCTTATTTCTAGCAACTTTTCTAGCCATTGATGATTATACTAAGGTTTTTTGAGATACCATTATACTAGTAACACATGCCTACGCTTGTAGAGAGATCTGTATCAACTAATCCTGTATCGACATCTCTTTCACGGTGATAAAAACAAGCGCAAAACAACAAGATCAACCCAATAACATACCCTGTGGACCAAACCAGTCCTCTGACAGCCACACAGTGGAGTGGACAGGTAGGCTAAAGCATATTGGAGGCGGGATGATGGGTACATAAAGACACTAGTTTTATTAAGTAGTTATTTCTGGAGTAAGCAAACTATATGAAGAATCTGGAGACACATTTAGGAAGCAGACAAAGAAGATACATGGCGTGGAGCAAGTTGAGGCACATAACATGGAGAAAAAGCTTAAAAGCTGCAAAAAAAGGCAAAAGATACAGAATTTTTTTGTATAGTTGTGTCATCGAGCAATACCTGAACAGCAATGTTGGACCAATTCTGGGTCAAGTTTAGAGTGATGATATCTCTAGTTGCATCACCATAAGCCATGTAACCAAAGAATCCAAACACGATATACAGTGAAGCTATCCCAGCAACAGCATTGGCCAGAACTCCGCGGAATTTCCCCCTCTCCTTCATCGACTGCTCGAGTGCCAATGTCATCCCAAACCCTTCAAAGCAGAACACCGCCATTCCTAAAGCAAACGGCAAGCCACCAGGACCAGGCGAGATTGCTTGCCTGTCACTGAACTTAAACTCCCCACCAAACACTTTTTGGACATCCTCTTTCACCACTATCGCCATTGCTAAGAGATTGCATACATCGGCGAAAATGCTGAAGGGAGCTAGAGCGGATAGTGAGCCGATCCAAGAGAGGGCGATCTCGATTGGGACCAACATGAATATGAATGTGGAGGTTGTGAAGCCATTGAACTTGAACACCGAGGAAAGATTCTGGCCGATGAAGAGCAAATAGGCAACAGCTCCCCCGCATTGCGAAACCAAGATCAAGGATTCTGTTAAGTAACGCCCTGTTTTGCCCAATGCTTTCTGACCCAGATCGCCATATGTTCTTGTTTCCGTGGTGGGTTCCTCGGTTGCCATTTTATCCCTGCATTGAACCTGGTAATTTGACCAGCAAAACCCAGTCAATTTCATTAATTTAATGGCGGAAAAGGATTCAAAAGAGGACATCTCTGAAAGCAACGAATTAAGAATTTTTAAAAAGAAGTAAAAACAACACAATCAAGGGTTTTGCTGTCGAGAATGGGTCTTTATTAATTCCACAAACAGGGCAACCATTGCAGAAAACGACTGCACGAAAATTGGGGGAAAAAAAAGAGAGGGGAAAGGGAGGGGAACTGACGAGGAGAATCATGCAGTAGTAAGTTGAAATCCCAGCAACGATGATCGCGAACGATCCAGCAAGCCAGCCGGCGACCCGGAGAGCGAAAGGGAGGCCTAGGATTCCGGTGCCGACGATGGAAACGATTATGTTCCCTATGGTTTGCAGAGTGGAAGCGGTTCCCGGCGGCGGCTGCTCGTGGCAGTGGCGGTCGCCGAGCAGAGGGGATTCGTCGGGTTTGAGCCCTTCTTCCATCCTTCTTTTTTTGTGGGGTTTGGCGGCGTTGTTGAGAGAAGAGGCGGCGGGCTAAGTTTAATTAGCGCGGTTTTGGGTTGATGGCGGAGCGGAGAGCGGAAACCCCAGCAGCCAGCATTGATTCTGGATTCCCGGTCCGCATCTTGTGGTATGAAACTATGAATGGAAGGAGAGAGGGGGGAAGGTACAGGAAGAAGGGGGAAAGTTTTGCAACGTGGCAAAGTTGCTTTCCTTCTTTCTCTTTGCTTCGAAAGGATTAATAACTAAAATGGTCACTATACTATTGAACGATACCAAATAAGACCCTGTAAAATTATTTTTTTGAGCGTGTACTATGGTTTACATTAGGGGTGGTTATTTGGTCCGGGCTATTTGGTTTTATCCAAAACCGGAACGTATAATCCTGAACGAGACGGGATGGGACTGGATAGCAAACAATCCAATCCCATCTTCGGACTTAGTTTTGAGGTAAAAAAATCGTTCGAGACCGGATAAGGGAACCCAACACCCAAAATTTAACCAACTTGTCACCTTTTCAGGCCTCAGGCCACTCAAAATTCCACAAGCTCAATCTAAAATCAAGACCGAATTAGGAACGAATCGGTTCAAGACCGGATTGTATCCAATCTAATCTTTAGTCCTTATATTCTCGAAAATATCGGACCAGAACCGACCAAGAACCAAAGAACCGGCCAAAAAAAAGTTAAAAATATTTTTCTCAATTGGGTGCTATAACGCCAAGGACCAAAGAAAAATAGAGGATCCTAGTGCTAAATTTTTGACTCAATATAAAAGGCCAAAGAAAGCCCAATCTCCGAGACCAGACCACCATCTGACATCTGTTGAGTGAAGGAATGCACGGGGGCGGCGGTCTCTCGTTATCATCTCGTTAAGGGCATTGCTATTCGTCGCACTAAAACTCGTTATTTGTCGCCCTAATTAAATTACATTTACTTTAATGCCCTTAATACTTTTATTTGTCTATCAAACCCTTAAACCCAAAATAAACTCATATACTACACCAAATAACAAAAATTGAAATACGACCAAAGAAACAAAGAAGCGAACACTTCTCTGGTTTCTCATCTCCGTCGAATTACACAACCATTACCAATTAAATGGCCACAAACACTTGTCAGCGGCAGCACTATATATCATTGTTCTCCATCATCCTAACTGCTTCACTGAGATTGTAAATTGCAGCAGACATACAACAACAGCACTCTTAAATTCAAACTTGTCTGTGATGGCGAGCTTTGTTCGTTCGAGGAAGGGGAAGTGGAGGAGAAGGATCGTGCCCAGCCCCCAGATTGGGCTTCCTGAACTCCATCAGAAGCAGATCATGCTTGATTCTGGCCCTCTTTTACCCTTTCGTTAGTGATTGCTCGAGGATGAACATGAAGGGAGGTGTCTTAGAAGGGGAGGCTAGCTTGCAGAGGCGACGAAGCAGGCGACGCCATCTTCAATTTAAGCGGCGGCGGATTTGGATTGGGGTGTGGAAGGGGCTAGGGATTGTTTGATTAGCGCTTAGAATTGAAATCGGACTGAGAGGTAAATATGTCAATTTATTGTGTTTTAGGGCGATAAAATTTGAATTATAGGGCGACGAATAGCGATTCAGCTCGTTAATAATTAAAAAAACAAATTTATGTTTCAATCATCTACTCTTCCCAAACGCTTTTACAGCCCCCTATTCTTTCTAAATTCTAATGGCTCTTTTAGCTTAAAAAAACACTTTTTTTCAATTTTTTCTATAAATACACGACACTTGTCAACTTCTACTTCGTCACTTCCCATTTTTTTATTTTCCTTATGATCACAAATAAATTAATTTTCTTTTCATAAAATAAAAAATTCTCTTCTTCCCAAACATCTGATCATGTATCAAACTAATCGTCATTCGAATTGCAAGGAGGCTGAAGTCTGAAGATAATGTTTTATCATTTATGCAAGTTTTGGATTCAAATTTCATAGGATGGTTTTGTTGGCCATTATCAATCCACAACTGAATTATGGAAACGATTTGGAGTTGTATTTGCTACTAAAGGATGAGGGATTTCACGTACCGAGGTGGGCTTGAATTCTCGATGGCAGACCATTCTCCATTAATGCGAGTCGTGGAATGCAGTGTTTAGGAGAGCAAAGGTGACACCATTTAGTGGAGAGAACCCCAAGTGTACTGAAGAAGGCATAAATCCATGCACCGTTGATGCTATAGCTTTGAAAATAATGGTTGATTTTTTCTTGTGTCCAATATATTGGCATGGCTACGCAGTCATAAAATTATTCCACTCCAAATACAAGCAATTAATGGAACCAATCATAACTGGAAAACCATGCCTAGCACTATGATCAAGAAGGCGACGAAGATCTTTCACGTTTTAGTGTATGTAAGTATTGAGAACCATAAATGTTGGTGAAGATCGAGAAAACTTTCCACAAGCACTCTAGTTTGGTGCTCTCACTCATTGGGAAGGTCTATTCCAAAGAGTCTATTGAGCATCCATATGCAAGCATCCAAAGATAACTAGTCAACTTTTGGTGTGGGAGAGCAAGTCACGATTTGCAACATCTTTGACTTGCTTGAAGTAGTCATTGTACTGAACACATCATTCATGAGTTGATTGAATAAGGCAGGAGGCATTCGATATCGCCTTGTGAATGCCTTAGCGTCATAGTAAGTAGAACCCCAACAACCAGCATTGTTTTAAATTCTCGGTCTACATCTTGTGGTATGAATGAAAGGAGAGAGGGGGAAAGGTACAGGAAGCGGGGGGAGTTTTGCAACGTGGCAACGTTGCTTTTTTTCCTAGTAGAAAGCAAAGTTGCTTTTCCTTCTTTCTCTTTGGTTTTAACTTTTCAAGGATTAACTAGCACTGAGACCGACCCGTTGGCCGAGAGAGTATACATCAAGAATATGCATAACAATAATGGATATGATAGACAACTGAAACATGTAATGTGTATTTTTGTGACTTAATTATGCCAGTGTGCTTACAATATGATAAGAAGAGAAGAAATATGATTGCATAATATATATATATATATATAAAATTATTCAAAGGAAAAAACTAATTGTCTTTTGCTACTTAAGTAGACAATATAGTTGAAAATTAGGGTTGTTTCTCATAATACATACATACTCAACTTTAAGAATGACAAAAAATGATTGGTCTCTGATAGTTCAATATCTCTATAATTATTTCTATTTTTCCTTTTGGTTAATAAGACAATTGAACCCAAACCTAGGGTATTGCACCTAATTTGATCTTGTCAAAGGGACTTGAATCCGACTTTAGTATTTTTAAATTTCTCTTCTTTATTTTGGTTGAGAATGTCGATTGAACCAAAGTCTATGGTATTGATGAGTTTTGTATTAGGAGCGAGTTTTATCCACTTTTGTAGTTGGCAGGTTGGGTCGAGTGTGAATTTATTAATAACTCGGTTTAACCCAGTCAAAAAGAGTTCAACACGCTATTGACGAATTTTGAATCGAAAGCGAGGCTCCTCTGCTTTAATGTTTATTTATTTCTCTTTTTTGTAATAGTGGCAATTAACCCAGACCGTTGACGAGTTTTGTATCAAGAGCGAGTTTTATCCACTTTTGTTGGAAGGTTGGGTTGTATTGAGTTTGTTAAAAAATAGATTTTACGGGGTCAAAGCAAGTTGAACCCATTGTTGAGAGGTTTGAGTTGGGAGGGAGTATTATCTGCTCTAACGTTTTTATTTATATTTTTTCTTTTGGTTGAGAAAGAAAATTGTACTCAAACCTATGGGTATCCAACCTAGCTAATTCGACCTGGTCAAAGAGATTTGAACCTGGTTTTTGCAATTTTTTTGGTCGGGAGCGAGTTTAATCCCCCTTTGTAATTGACGGGTTGTGTCAGGTGTGAATTTTAAAAAAATTCAACCCTGTCAAAGCGAGTTGAACCCAATGTTGACGTGTTTTACCTGCTTTATTGTATTTTAATTTCTAAATTTTCTTTTGGTTGAGAATGACAATTGAACTCAAACCCATGAGTATCCAGCCTAATTCAACTCGGTCATGAATGCATGTTGAAACTCCTCAAAAACTTGCGATAAGTTTTGGTAATCCATACAAAAATCAGGATATATGACTTTAAACCCAAAAAAAAAAAAACTAATAAAAAGAGTACAAACGAAAACAATAGTGTCACGAGAGAAATTTAAACATAGAAATCATTGCTCGATAGTCCTTCTCTCTCGTGCAAGTTCATCGCTTCGTCGACAACATATTGTACGTGTTATCGCTGGCAAACCCATGGAAAGAAAGATTAAGAATATAAATAAGATCCCATTCACTTTTTGATCAAACATTCAAATTATTATTCCTTAAAATATGACGTTCTCGCTCACACGAAGCGTTAGCGATCAGACTTATACTAGCTTATTACCCGGCCCGTTGGCCGGATTACTGTATGTTACCCACTTGTGGAATGGGAGAGAAAGCAAGTGAGAGTGAAGGGATTGGGATTCCACTTGATTAGGACCGACCCACTAATCCAATTCTTCCCGACCCGCCCCAACCTACAGGGTCAGAAAGAGTCAATAAGAAAATACGAACGGGGAGGATTAGTCATATATCTTGACTCTTCAGAAGTGGGTCAAACAGGATCAAGGTTGAGTGAGGGCAATTTTTAGCGCTAAGCAGAGTTCTGGGTTGAATACCTTTACTTAGGCCTAGAAATTGGTGCTGATGCAGACTGCAGTTTTTATTATACCATCATCAATCATCATTTAATTAGTCTTGGGCATCCCTCCCCGTTGTCGGTCTGAAATCTAATGATGGCTTCATTCCTTGCACCAGCCATATCAGCGAGTTGCCATCTCGAGCATGATTTGCCTATGTACAAATTATACAATTAGAGTATGAAAATGAATTCAATGAAAAGGAAAAGAGAATTCTATCACATGCCAATAAATACACACATAATAGTTGAAGCTAAGTGAAAGTCATTACTCGCACATCAATTCTCAAAAATTACAGACTAAACATTGGTTAGAATGGCACTGAAACTACCAAGAATCATGGACGAAACAACTTGTCAAATTAAATAATCCTTATACTGAAACTACCTTCTAACTTGAAATACGACATGATCACAGTTCATAACTCTCTTCTCACTATGAATTGGTTGCAGCTCGTCCTTATCACTGCCTCTCAAGCTCAATTCAAACAGAATAGAGACCGTTATGTAAGATAACCATATTCTTACTGATCATAATTCCTTTCTTCACACCATTTTTGTCGGATAAAAGAGTTATCCCCCTCTCCTGCATTTCCCTTTCCCCCTCTCTTCTCCCTCTTCTTCACAAACCGATCCCTAAACCAGCAACAACAACAAAAAAATAGCCTTCGCCTCTCCCATCTCCATCTATTGAACGCATTGTGGCAAGACAGGACTGCAGAAGCAAAATTTTCTAAAATCAAACTAAATTTTTTGAAGCAGACTCAACCACGAAAAAAGAGTAAAGCAACAATGCAGTAGAACCCTAAATTTAACTACAATCAAGCACATATCAGCAAGATTTTTCGATTTGTCTGAGAGTTAACTACACGGAGAGAACAATTGATGCATAATTGAAATGCTCCAAGCAAGTTGAAGGCAAACCATAACTTTAGAATTTGGTCATTATAATAACCTTCAAGTATTGATGCTTCTAAGAACTATCATGTCCAACCCCCACTTATACAACTACGTAGCCATAGTAATTAGTTGTATAATGAGAAATATTACAAAGAAAACTACATAAACAACCAATGTAAGTAAATATTAAAACTAACAACTGATAAAACTTAAAATCTCTCTATTGGTATAAATGTATCTATTAGTAACTACTATGCAATCAAGTATATATGATTTTTAGGCACTGAATAAGAAAAGTATAGATGGCTCACAAATGAAGACGTAGCAACTGAAGGTAGCACACAAAAACCAAAAATAGAAAAAGAGATAAGAAAAAAGGCGAGAAAAAGTCAAACAAAGAAAAAGGCCACATAGGAATACCTCGCTAGCTTTAGGGACTCTCTGCCACAACAAACAACCTTCTTAAAAATCTAACACCCTGAGACATCAAACAAACCTCCCACGACAATAATGTATGGCATTCCTATTGTCCAATAGGTTTGCCCAATTTAGACTTCTAAATAAATGGACTTTTCACCATTAAATCAAAACTCACAATCATTAACAGTTAATGCAAAGACATACATTTCTGAGGTCAATCACAGCATTTAAGCATAATTTTTAGTTGAAAAGAACAACTAAGTATTTAGCTAAATGATATAGTAGAATGGACACAATCTGCTACCTAATAATGATATAAACGTGTACCGGTACCATCGTTGTATCCTGACTTGCCATTTGCAACGGGCACTTTAGAGAATAAACACCCATAAGGGCGTTACGAAACCAAGCTTCCAAAATCTTCATATTCCACTTCGAAGACTCCATTTTCAAAAATAAGAGAGTTTAACATGTCAAATCACTCATTTGAAAAATCTCAAACAACTATTAATCAATGCAATATAAAGGCACGTTCCAAATTATGTACTTGTAGGAATAATCCCAAATAATTATCAATTAATGCCCCAACTACCTAATGTGCAGAATAGCCCTGGAGCTGTGCTGTTGTTTGCGTTGGTCTACCTTCAAACATAACATATTTGCATCACGAACCAAAGCAATTAAGCAAAAATCTTCATATTCCAAGTAGAATGACTCAATTCAATTTGGCCAACGCTTTATACATATTGTTTACCCCTGGACCTGTTGCACTTGCGCCTTCAGATCTTCGTGAACACAATACAATTGCGGAGAGGAGGCTGTCAACGGAATAAAAATTGTTAATTAAGTGAATCGCCATACAACTAAACAAACACACTCTTCTTGATTAGCTATCAAAATAGTGGGGGTCGCTACAATCCATCGGTTGCTCCCTCTGCGCCTAAGTTGTAGATATTAGGTTTCAGTGAGAACTTTGAGTACATGAGGAGATATTTTGTAGTGGAGGAGATGACCCGGCGAGTAGAATAGGAAGATTTGGAGAGGCTGCGATGGGCAAAGCAGTTAAAATCGAGATTTTACCTAAAATCGAAAACTGGGGTAAAATCAAAATCGTATAATCGAATCGTAAAATCGTAGGATTTTAAGTACCATATAGAACATAGCATATAAGAATATTAATAAGGTAAATTATTAATATCACAAAGACACATAGCATTTAAAATGATAATTCAGAAGATTTTTTATCCATAAGATAATTCTCAAGATTAATGTTCCAAAATCACTATTTTAATTGTTATTTAATGTGTAACTCAAAATAATTCATGATGAAGGGATATAGTTCATGGGTTTGGCTCTTATTTTCATGTTATGTCTAGGTTGTTTAACTCAAAGTAATATTTCGACATCGTCTACTAAGTATGATTTAAAACTAAAAATAATTGAACTCCAATAAAATAAGTAATGTTAGTGGCTTGGTACAAATATATTTATTAATAAATTAATTAGTTAATAATGATGTTAGTTCTTACATACTTCCAATATTAGGACAGGTGTTTTACCAATAAGTTAAATGGGGTGAAGGGAAAGAGATTAACCGAACCCTAATTTGGTTATTTTTATTATTTTTGAATATTTTTCTAATAGAAAAATATCTGAGAAGATTCCATTGCCCTTTCTGCTGAAACAGTTATACTTATTTTAAATTGGCTCAAACCACCTATTTTGTTCTCTTACGATCAAAATCCCGATTTCGGTACTATTTTACGATTTTAACGATTTTAGTCCCGATTTTAAACGATTTTAAGGTCCACCGATTTGATAGTAAAATCAAGATCGGAATCCCTAAGTAAAATCCTAAAATCCTACGATTTTACGATCAAAATCCCGAATTTGACTGCATTGGCGATGGGTGCACGATTAGTGGGCCAAATAACAGTTTGGGCCCGTTTAAATGAAAACATATTTTTACTTTCGTGCTCAACAGACCGACCGCACTGGCATCTTCTAAATTTACCCCTAAAGAATTGCTCTGTACGCATCAAATTTGAAATGGAATCCCTCTTTTCTCATTTCACATTTCACATTTATATGATGTGTAGATTGTGATGAGTGTAGATGTAGACCTGTCATTGTCCTACAAATTCATTAACACGCCAAAAAGTGGTGAAATGAGCCACCCTATTAAACACAATCTTGTATAATGATCATTGGATCCAATCATGCCAGATTATGAAGAAGTTTAAAATGTAGCGGTTATCCCGACTAAAACATTAAAAGAACCAGTCTCATATAGTTTGCACAAAGATATAATTTCTCCATAGTAATTCTGAAAAATACTATTAATTTAAGAAGTCGATATTGCTTCTACATGTTTAATATTGCAATTCGATATGCAATATTCGAACCAGTGATATTTGGGCTGCAATTTTAGGGTTATTGTATATTTATAAAATAGATAGAAATTTAAATTAAGTATTAAACTACAACTAAAATAATCAAAGTATTAAAACACCAAATAAGTACTTACGGGAGATTCAGTGGCCAACTAATCGTTAAAAAAGTCATATGATTTTCATAATTTAGGTTCGTGTATGTTTGAATTTAAATAAATACAACAAATATACTTAGTGTGATTGGTTATGATCCTTGCTTGCCTTTAAAGAGACCAAGGTTCAAATCCCAGTGCATGCCTTTTTTATGAATAAATAAATAAATAAGAAAATAAGCAATTGTGAAGACCAAAATGTCCTTCCTATAATCACTCTCGTTGCAGAAAATTTGAAATGGAGCAACAGTTTTCATCATTCTGCTTTTATTTATTATCTAGACTAGTATACATAAAAATATACCAGCATACATAATGCAAGGGTCTACGCACGAACCCATGCATGCATATATAAATATTTACGTAATAACGTATAATTCCTTACTCCCCGTCCTGATGATCATCATCCACCAAGCACCTAAGCCCCGCCTTGAAAGCCTGAAGCCGAGCCTTCACCATCGCCACCTCTCTGTTGCTCTTCTCCACCACTTCCCTCATGCACTCCACTTCCTTCCTACACACCGCCAGCTCCGACCTCCCGTCTTGTATCACTCTCTTCTTCTCCTTCAGTGCAACTCGCAGCTCTCTAGCCTCCTCGACGGCGCTCATGGCTTCCTCCACATCCACCACCACCGCACCATTGTACATGTCACATTTGTTCCACACGCCGCCGCCGTCCAAAACCTCTCTGATCACGCCGTATTTGGACCAGCCAAAGTAGTCGTTGATCCTCAGCCTCCAAACCGACGGGTGGTCGATGTCCGCCGCCAGGCAGAGGCCGCGGCGGTTGACCAAGAGAGGCAGGAACCCGCCGTCCAGCAGTGGAAGGGCGAGGTCCTTGGCCAGTTCCTTGAGTCTTCTCTTCTTTATCACCGCGCCCATGACTTCGAGCGCGTTGTATTCGGCCTTTGGGGAAGCTCCAACCCTAACGCCGTCGGTCAACTCGCCGGAGATGGGGGACGGACGGATCATCTCTAGGGCGGTTGGGTCGTCGGAGTACTGCAGAACTATGACGTCCGTGCGTTCGTCGGTGGATGCCATGATGAATTCGTTGTCGGACGTCAATTCGAATGTTGGCATTTTTTGTTTTTTTTACGTTGCATGCATGTACCAAAAAATGTTGGGTTTGGGCCGGGGTAGGTTTTTTTTATAGAGGGTATGGGGTATGGAATTTCACGTAACGAAGTAAGATGAAATTCAAGCTATATAGTGATCACTTTTTATTGATGTTGGTGGTTAAGAATATGTGCAAAACTTTGTTTTACTCTTACTGGTTGGCTTGGAATTTTGATTACTTTAATGAAGTAAGATGAAGTTCAAGCTAATGATCACTTTTTTTTTTGTTTGAGTCGTACTGGTTAGCTTGGAATTTTATGTAATGAAGTAAGATGAAATTCAAGCTAATGATTAGTTTCTTGATGTTCAGGTTAAAGAATATGTGCATTTTTTATTTATAAATTTTACCAGTAGAATTTGAATTTTATGTAAGGGCTAATACTACTGCAACACCCGAACTATCGCGAAAATGCCACTTGTGTCCTATTGTTTCCAATATTCCATTTGTGTCCTGAACTATGATTTCGTTAGTGTTGACTTTTGTTGACCGTTAGTTTTTAACAGAAAATCTAGTTAGCACTGATGTGGCATTTCACGTGGAATTTTTAATATTAATTTTTCCATCTAATATTAATAAAATAAAAAAAGGAAATAATTAAAATATAAAATAAAATAAAAACTTAACCCACTAATCCTTTCGTCCCATCCACACAAATCTCTACATTATAATAGAAACGTAACCCACCAAACCCCCAATCCTCTTAAATAACCCCAATACCCTCGTCGATCTGTCAACGCCAAACCTTAGATCAGCGATTCCCCAATCGGCGACCCTGCTTCTCTAACCCTTTCCCTGACGACGCCGAGGGATTCAACAAATCCGCTCCCTCCTCGCTCCCTCCTCCTTCATTGCTCCTCGATTGCGACAACTGGCGCCTCAAACCGGCGCCTCAGATGGGTGCGCCTTCCGCTGTAGAAGTGGTCGAGACAGATCTTCGACAACAAAGAAGACGGGGTTGGAGTGGATCCCTGAGAGATAAAAATCAAGCAGGAGAGAGGGGAAATCAGAGGGAGCGGCGGAGAGGAGATGGAAATGGCGATGGCGAGGGCGGATCCGGCGGTGTTTTGTTGTCGAAAGCCGAGAGGCAGAGCTTCAATTCCGTAGTGTCTCGCATCATCGATCTTGCCTGCCTTTCACCGCAAAGAAGAAGAAAGAGGGAGGAGTTGGCCGGCAGAGGAAGGTCGGCGTCGCCCTGGGTACTGCCTCCCGCCTCGTACGATGACGCCTCTTCAGATATGAAAATAGGAGTGGGAGGAGATCTACAAACCGTGTTCTTCCCTAGAAGCAGATCTGGAAGCACCGCCAATGGAGTTCTATTTCCATTTTGATTTTTTTTAATTTTAGTTTGTTTAATACTATAATTGAATTTATAGTTTTTTTAATTTTAACTCAATTTTTATTTAATTTAAATTAAAAAAATATTAGGTTGGTGACGTGGCATCTATGTGGCAGCCTGATTTTTTGCCACGTCAACAAAAGTCAACTTCGCGTTGACCACCTTTTGGTCAGCTGTTATATTTAACGGTCAACAAAATTGACAGGATACAAATGACACAAAGTATCATAGTTCAGGACACAGATGGAATATTGGAAACAATAGGACATAAGTGGCATTTTCGCGATAGTTCGGGTGTTGTAGTGGTATTAGCCCTTTATGTAATAAAGTAAGATGAAAGTCAAGCCGAATGATCACTTTCTTGATGTTAATGTTCAAGAATATATGTGCAAATTTTGTTTTAATTTTACCTGTTGGCTTAAACTTTAAGTAATGAAGTAAGGTGAAATTCAAGCTAATAATCATTCTCTTGATGTTAAACGAATTTTGAGCTCAACTCTTTTTTAAATTAAAATCGACACAAACACTCCTATCTTATATAAAAATTTGGGGCTTTTGCCCCTCATTATCAGAGGGCTTGCCCTCCTATTGAAGTAAGATGAAAGCCCTCCTATGAAGTAAGATGAAATATTAGGTAGAAGGGATAAACGAATTTGGCATGGACGTCAAGGTAAATAATTGATAGGTTTGGACTTTGGAGTACATCCGATCCGAGAACATATGCAACAATTAGTTACTTAAGAAAAGAATTATACCATTAGCATTAATTGATTACTTAATGGCACAAGCTTTTTTTTAAGGATTGAAAAATCAAACGGTATCGAAGATTGGATCAAAAAAACTTTTTATCGGGAGCGAAATCGGTAGGTGGTATTTAGCGGTATGAAACAGTTAAACCACGATTTCAACATAAAGTACTTTACCGCTGACTTTTTCAGAACAACGTTCGGTACGGTTTTTCAATCTTTACCTTTTCACAGTTCATTACGATATTTTATCCTCATGATGATGTGGTCATCGTCATCATGTCTTACACTATTACTACTCCAATGTTTCTAAACTATACCAACATAATATCAGCTTTCAACGACCATGATATACATTTGTATCATGGTGGTATATTTTCAAGTATGTGAAGAAATTATTGACATTATTATCCAACGCTGGCGGCTGGACCCGACATAATGGTCCGACTTCGGCTTTCTGATAAGGTCTTTCTTCCAATTGCCATCGTCGGACCTTCCGTTCTGGCCGGTCAGAAAGTCGGCGTCGGTCCGTCGCCACCAACTGCCGGAAAAATCCTCATTGTTGACAGAGAATTACCTCAATTGCAGTTAGCTCCGGCGGTTTGCGGACGAGTCTGATTTGCCTGCAAAATCGGCTCCGACAATTGTGGTTTGCTGGCAAAATTGGCTCCGACGGTGGTGGTCTGCTGGTGGTGGAATGAGGGTTGTATTGGTGTGAAACAACCCCAAATTAAAATAGAATATAAATTAAAGAAACAAATAAGGGTAGAAATGACATTTTCCCTAAAAACATGGACTACAAATAATAAAAGCTTGGAAGATAAATAACAACCCTCTAATCTTATCTCTCAACATCTTGATCAAGCTTTTTTTTTTTGCCAAAAGATACTTCGTATTGAACGAGATAATCAAGATACAAAAAAGTCAGCTGGCCGACCAGAGCCAGGTACGAAAACCGAACCCTATCAAACTAGGAAACAATGAATGGGCTTTTTTGGCCACCAAATGGGCCACCCTATTACAAGCACGTCCAACAAAACAAACACTAGACCTGAGAAAACACTGCCGCAACACCTTAATCTCACTCAAGATCGCCCCACCACGAGCATCCGAACACAAGTCTTCCTGCACCTTGTCTAGCACCACTTGAGCATCACCAGCGAAGACGACATCTTGCACACCCATCTGCAGCGCCCACCGTATCCCGTCCCTCAAAGCTAGGAGCTCTACCAAGAAAGGATCCTGCACAGCCGGGTACAAAAAGGCAGCCGCCCCAAGCAGCGTCCCAGAGGAATCCTCTAGAATCCAGCCACCTGCACCATGAGTACCTGAGCGAACGACGCCATTCGTGAATACCCACACCGCCTCCTCCCTATCCTGCACCCCACCCTGACCCCCTCAGCCCAAACCCAGGAGCAGGGAAAGACGTAATCCCACCCAAAGGAACCGCCTCCCACTCCGCCACCTATCTATTGAACTGAGAGAGTAACACGGCAGGTGTAAACAGTGTGGAGTCAAAAACCACCCAATTTCGAGCTTTCCATATACGCCAGAAGAGAGCAAGGACCCGCATGAGCATTCCTTCCTCCAGATTTGGTGATCAAGAAATCGTCTCCAGAAAACTTCGACTGAGGCCGAGGCGAACTCATTTCGAAGAAAACCTAGGCTAGACGCCTCCCAACATCCCTCAGCTAAACGACAATGGAAAAATAAATGCTCAGCAGATTCCTCTTCCCATAAGCACGTGGGGCATAAAAGAACCCCCTCCATTCCCCTCACCGATAAAGCTTCTCCTGTGGGAACCACCCTCCGCTAGGGGTGGGCAACTGGTTCGGTAAACCCGAACCGAACCGAAACCGAACTAATGCTATTCGGTTCGGAATTTGGAAGGAAAATCTGGATATTTCGGAAATCAAGGTTCTTTTAACCGAACCGAATTTCCAAAATTCCGACCGAAAAACCGAAATACTGTAATTTCAAGCTCAAATGGTGGATTTTTATGTTTGTATTTGTTTTTAGACATAAATATTTGAAATGTTTTATTACTTATGTGTTGAAAAGTTTGATTTTATCATTGATGATGCATATAATTACATATTTATTGTTTATATTAAGGGTGAAAAATAATTTAAAAGTGAGAAGCTACAAGTAGCCTCTCAATTTCGGTTTTGTGTATAAAACCAAATCGAAACGAATTATAATTCGGTTTAAACCGACCGAACCAAATTTTAATTCGGTTTGAATTCGGTTTGGGGTTTGGGAGAATTCGGGGACTTGGTATTCATAATTTCGGTTCGGTCGAAACCGAACCGACCGAATGCCCACCCCTACCCTCCGCAACAGTTGCCAAAGGAAGAACTGAAATTTAGGAGGAACCGGGGCACTCCAAACCTTACCCCACAAACATGAATCCCAAATCATAGGACCATGCTTAGCCTGACCCTCCCGATCTCGCCTAAGATCTGATGCTAGATGGTACCCAGATCGAACACTGTAAGAACCCGACATCTCATGATGCCAGATCAGCCTATCTTGAATCGGAACCCTTGGCAGAGGAATGGCCCGAATTTGGGCAACAATACCGCTCTCAAAAAGCTGACAAAGCAAGTCTTCCTTCCACCTACCATCATGATGAGAAATTAAGGAATCGACAGTCCCTGCACCCCGACCATCTCTGGACGCAATGGAGGAGGGTCTGGGTGACAAGCAGGAACCCAGTCCGAGGTGGAAATCGAAATCCTCTCCCCAGTCCCAACCTGCCACCGCAAGCCATGCTGGAGGAGCTCCCGACCATGCAGGATACCACGCCATCCCCAAGATGGAAGAGACCCCATAGTAGCCTCTAAAAAAGAAGACCGGGAATAATACTTTCCTTTGAAAATGCGAGCAAGCATGCAATCAGGATCCGTGAGTAAGCGCCATCCCAACTTAGCCAGTAAAGCCTGATTGAAGTCCTCAAACCGACGGAAACCCATCCCCCCCTCAGCCTTCCTCAGACAGAGGGTTTTCCAAGAGACCCAATGAATTTTATGCTCCCCTGCCTTAGCGCCCCACCAGAAGCGAGCCAAATGTCTATCCAGGTCTCAACACAAAGTGACAGGCAGCCAAAAACAAGACGTCACATGAATAGGTAAAGCATTCACAACCGCCTTCAACAGAACCTCTCTTGCCGACTACGAGAGACATCACCTTTTCCACCCTTGCAGTCGGCTTAAAACCCTTTCCTCAATGTAACGAAACGTCGCTATCTTCGAGCGACCAATTAGAGCTGGTAAGCCCAAATACTGGTCAGTGACTCCCACAGCGCCAACTCCAAGAATGGATCCAAGATGCTCCCTTTCTGGTTGCTTAACGTTCTTACTAAATTATACAGCCGACTTCTCCAAGTTCACCTTTTGACCGCTCAGTGTCTCGTATCTAGCCAAAATCTCCCTTAGGGTAGAACACTCTGGTCCCGAAACTCTCAGAAACAAATAAGAATCATCTGCAAAAAATAGATGAGACACCATGGGACATCGAGGGCTTATACGAATTCCTGTAAGGGATTTGCTAACAATTGCCTGCCGAAGAAGCGCAACAAATCCTTCCGTACAAAGCGCAAATAAAAGAGGAGAGAGCGGGTCTCCCTGACGCAAGCCACGAGAAGCTGCGAAATAGCCCGAAGGACGTCCATTCATCATTACCGAAAAGGTTGAAGACGTAACACAAGCCCGGAGCCATTTAATCCATTGCGCACAAAATCGAAGTTTTTCAAGCAATGCGAATAAAAATGGCCATTCCACCCTATCATAAGCTTTCTCCATATCAACCTTCAAGGCCATAAACCCTTGTTTCCCTTCACGCTTGTTTCGCAGATAATGCATGACCTCGTGACCGATGAGAATGTTATCAACAATCTGCCTCCCACGCACAAATCCATTATGGCCAGGTGAAACAATGGCAGGCAGGTAGCGAGATAGTCTTTCCGCCAAGATTCTCGAAATTACCTTGTACATAAATTGACAGAGGCTAATCGGTCGAAGTTGCTTCATATGTTCAACATTATCCACCTTAGGAATTAAGACCAACCAAGTATGGTTAAAATTCTTCAAAAGGCTCCCCGTCTCAAAGAAGTGAGTCACAACCTCCGTAACATCCATACCAACTATATCCCAAAACTTCCTGAAAAAGACACCAGTAAAGCCATCTGAGCCAGGAGCCTGAGTTGCCCCAATCTGAAAGACAGACGTACGGATTTCTGCTGGCGAGATCTTTGGCCTTTGCTGATAGCTTAGCATTCATTGAAGCAGTCACTTTCTCCCCAATCGACAAATTCAGGACCTGTTCTCGAACAAACTGGTCATCCATCCCCTCAGAAGTAAATAATGAGGAATAGAAGTCACTGGCAACAATGGCCTTTCCATCCTCTTCCGTACGAACCATCGGGCGCAAAAAGACCCGAGATAAAATTTTTCTTTCTGCGTGCTCGAGTCACCAAATAAAAATAGGACGTATTTCTCCCCAATCGGCAAATTAAATTAGCTGTTTGTGAAAAAACTAAAAGTCCACTACACATTTTATTCTTGCAAATTGCTGCAGCTAGTTCTCTTAAAATAAAATGTGTTCCTTTTTTATTAGACCTGACAATCGGGTCGGGGTGGGTAATTTCGGGTTGAGAACTTCGGTTACGGGTCGGGTCATGTTTGGTTGGCTTATTTCGGTTCAAATATTGACCCAACCTATTCGGTTTCGGGCCGGGTTACAGGTCATTTCGGGTTATGAGCATTCTCAGAAACAATATCAAACATGCTTCATATTTTCTTAAAGAACATAAATTTTCACACATGCATGACAATAGTTTACCTAACACATGTCAATTAACATATTCTCAAATCCTCCCACGCTAATGAAATGAAATATAAATTGTGCAAATCGTCAAAAAACAATCACAAGAGTAATACTACTACAAGAAACACATGATATTTGATTATCCTTAAACTCCAAACATGTCAATCAAATCCTTGTGATTTTTTTTAAACATCTCACCAATTTATGAGTGATTTTATCATATTTTGAGAGTAATATATTAAATGGAACGGGTCTAACGGGTCGACTTGCTAACCCACCCAACCCGACTAAAAAAATCACGGACTATCGGATTCGAGTCATTCGAATTTCAGATTACACAAATTTCTAGTTTTCGGGCAGTTTCGGGTCGGGTCAACGGTTTGGGTCGTAATTTGCCACGTATTTTTTGCTAGTTGCGGCCCCTAATTTTCATTTCCTCAAGTTTCGTTGACTTGAGTGTGGATCCAGGTTTCGGCACGGCAATGCAGCAACGAAACCGCCCACCGTTTTCCTTAAGGTTTTATAGTGACGAAACGACGCGTTTCAGTTCTGCCAACTGTGTTTCGCGTTTTCTCTTTCGTCGTTTACCGATAGGGTTTATCCTCGTTAGATGAGAAAGAAGATAATCGGGGGGGATCGGACTCGCCAGTCAAAATCACCGCTGCTAGCCGTCGTTCTCCGACGCTTCACCTCGATTCTTCCCACCACCCGCCGTCGGCCGCCGCCGAGAAAATCGCTTCTTCGTGAGAAGGTTTTCCTCTCAGCTATTGCTGATCATCGCCGCCGCAATCGGAAAGATGCTTCCCACCGTCTCCGCATCCGCGCCCTCCTCCTTCGCGCCTCTCATTCCTTCTCCGTCTCACACTCCTTCCCTCCTCGTTGGCAAAGGCAATTCGCTCTCCTTCCCTTCTAGTTCCAAAATCAGTCGATGGCAGCCGCATTTCTCTCCCCTCCGCTCCCCTCTCTCCATGCGGCCAGCGGCGGCGGTTTCCATCGAGAAGGAGACGATGGAGGCGGAGCGCCCGGACACATTTCTCAGAGAATCGGAGACCGGAGAGGTGAGGGCTCGTTTTGAGAAGATGATCAGGGATGCTCAGGACAGCGTCTGCCAGGCCCTCGAAGCCGTCGATAAAGTCGGTAAGTTTAAAGAAGACGTCTGGTCCAGACCAGGCGGCGGCGGAGGCATTAGCAGGGTCTTGCAGGACGGGGCCGTCTTTGAGAAGGCCGGAGTGAATGTGTCCGTTGTCTACGGCGTTATGCCCCCTGAAGCGTATAGAGCTGCAAGGTCGGCTTCTACCGATCAGAAACCTGGCCCCATTCCTTTCTTCGCAGCTGGAATCAGCTCTGTAATCTCCCATTTCCTGCACACTTGTTCTGTTTCAGCAGTTTCTGCCTTCTGTTTAGTGTCTTCTGGGTACTCATCACAATCCATAATGTGCTTGTGGTGTTCTACCATGCAGGTTTAGGTAAACTCCTTTTTCCGTTTTCTATCCTCTTTGATCCGATTGGGTGGACATTTTCTTTGTTCTCAGGTGTTGCATCCCAAGAATCCCTTTGCTCCCACATTGCATTTTAACTATAGATACTTCGAGACTGATGCTCCCAAAGGTTAGCTTTCCTCATCCTATCTCGTCAGTTCTCTTTGTAATGCTCTTCTATCTGACTTGTACTATGCAATGCAATGAAAATGAAATCATCTCACCTGAATCTAACTCAGCAGTGTTATATTTTTTTAGAAAGTTGGTAATCTGGTGTTGCTAGGCAAGATGAACATTGCGTTTGTAAACGTCCAGCTCTTATATGGTTGATAGTTGGTGAATGCATGCTTAATCCACTTGATTTCATTCAGTAGATAGATATGTTGTTAATGAACTTCACGAGCTTTTCAGTTTTCGTAACTAGTTAGACATGTGACTGCTAGATGATGTGCTTGAAATGGTCTCCATACTTCAGTGTGAGCCCTTTCTTTATGTTAATTGCAGTCGCTGACCGAACTTGAGCACTAATGTTCTGAAACCTGATGCTACCTTTTTCTTGCTTGGGACTTATGATAGTAGCTGGCTAGTCGTTGAACTGCTTAGACTTAATCATTCTTGCATACGGAGCATTCTGTGTGAAGTGTGTGCCACTACTCCAGAATGCTTTGTTGCAAATACTGGTGTGTCACTAAACATTGTTCTGCATACAGATACTCCTGGAGCCCCTCGGCAATGGTGGTTTGGTGGGGGGACTGACCTAACCCCAGCTTATATCTTCGAGGATGATGTGAAGCATTTCCATTCGGTATACATTCCTTTGATATAGTTCACTGTCTGCTCTTATATATCTGAAATGTTCTGTATATGTGTCTTATCATGTTTTTTTGGGATATATTGATCATATTTCTGTTAAAACAATTTTAGAATTTGGATTTAGTTTCTGCTCACTTTGCTCTTGATCTTGTTACTTATTACTTTTCAGACTCAAAAGAAGGCATGTGACAAATTTGATCCCACATTTTACCCACGGTTCAAGCAATGGTGTGATGATTATTTCTACATCAAGGTCTGTACTAGGCAAAACATTTCTGTAGTATTTGTTCTAGTTGTTTGATGTATCACTATCGATGTAATATCTCAAGTGTTGGCTCTTACTTCCTTTATATCATATCACAAAATCCATTTCTTAAGAAAATGCTAGTAGTATCAGTAGTAGTTAATAATGAAGGGCAAAATATGCCGTAGTTCTTTATATACTCTGCTATTTCTATGGCTGTCTGATAGGATATTATGGACAAGCAGGTGCTTTTACAAAGCTATTGCATTGTTAGTCATTGTAATCTATTCCTTCTGCATTGTATATGGTCCCGTAGGTGTATAAGAACATAATGTGATCATATAGATGTATTCCTCATGTTATAGCAAATGAGATTTTGATCAACAGACGACTTAATTAAAACGTGTTGCTTGTTGTTGTGTGCAGCACCGAGGTGAGAGGCGAGGACTTGGGGGAATATTTTTTGATGATCTTAATGACTATGATCAAGAGATGCTTCTTGCTTTTGCAACTGGTATGATATCCGGTCTCTGCTGAATCATGAGTAGATTCCCGGTTGTTTTATTAAGCAGCTCTCAATTATTTAAATCCCGTATTTTGTTGAAAATTGCAGAGTGTGCGAATTCTGTGATCCCCGCATATGTTCCAATCGTGGAGAGAAGGAAGGATATGCCATTTACCGAGCAGCAGAAAGCATGGCAACAGTTGCGTCGTGGCCGCTATGTAGAATTCAACTTGGTAAATGAAAAACTATCGCATCCTTGTACAATTGCTGCAACGCTGCCTAGAATATTTGTCAACTTGATGAGTTTGTTACATGGCGGAATTGAAGGTGTATGATAGGGGCACAACTTTCGGCCTGAAGACAGGAGGTCGAATAGAGAGCATTCTTGTCTCGTTGCCGCTATCTGCTCGGTGGGAGTACGACCATGTAAGTTCTTCCAGACTCCAGTATTGCTTGTGTTTCAGGGTCTGATGACATGGTGAGCTGCCTAACAAGCTATCTTTGGCTATGTAACAGAAGCCAGAAGAAGGAAGTGAAGAGTGGAAACTGTTGGATGCTTGTATCAACCCTAAAGAATGGCTCTAACGTGTATTTCCAGTATTGTACCGTTGTTTTAGTGTAAATGAATTACGTCGAGAGATTCCATCGGTCATTTTTTCTGCTTCTTCAGAAGCAAGCAATAGAATTTGAGATGATGAGCTTCCCTCCTGTAATTTTCACACAACAGTGACAACCATCTACTGTTCTTAGGCTAATTAGTGAAGAAGTACCACGAACAAAAGAAGCAAAATCGTACTGGAAAGACTTTTCACTTGGAACCGAAGCAGTATGGCTGGCAAATGCAGTCGATAGCATGCATCAACTTCCTCCTCGGACCAACAGCATCAGCACCCATATCTTTCAGCTTCTTCATCGTCAGGTTCACCAGCTGAAACTTGCCAACGCTCCTGTCGCGGAAGATCCTCACGAACTGACCCAACCCTAGCGACGCCAACCAGTTGCTCAACCCACCGGCCTTCTCGATCTTCCTCTCCACGAGCGATGCCCTCAGCGTCTGGTTCAATGCCGCCCCACTGTCGAATATACTCTGCCTAGGCAAAAACAGTCTCGGCTGCTTGACATTTCTTGATGTTCTTGATACTCCGACCACAGTGGCAGTAGTACCAGCCCTGCCGTGATCCACTCGAACCGCATCTGCCTCCTCGGGCGAGATCCTCGCACAAGTCTCGACCGTGGCAGCATCTGTTGATTCACCAGCGTTCACAATTTCTGCAGGCGTGGCTTTCTCACTGGTAGGTGCAGGGGACGGCAACACCGGTGGGGGTTTCTCAGCATCCGGTGGCGGAGGAATAAAGATGGTGACTCGCTGCCTTTTCACAATCACCCAACTGTCGTCTTCTCCGTCCAAGTCGTTGAGAATTCTCCTTGGTCTTCCCATCAGCCGCTGTCTACCTATTTACATAGAACAAACAATCAATCGATCGATCAATCAAATGATGAAATGACGAATAGAAGCAATCCGTAGTCAAACAGAGACGAAGGCAGAGCAGAGAGATGCGAAAATTAACTCAAACCATGCGCAGAAATAATAAGGAGATTCACGGCTGTAGATCGGCAGTCGCGCGGAAGATTTGGCTGACGGCGGCGGGACTTTCAGTGACTGGAAAAGAAAAGGATTTGCAGTTGCAGAGCTCCAATTTTTGGGGACTAATTCCGGCCGACTGGATAATTAGGAGAACGGTGAACATTTTCCTTCGAAACAAAATTGTTTTGTTGTTGTTCTCTAGTAAGCCCATGAAGCCATATAGGCCCATTATATGCGAGCCCGGCCCAGCCTTGTTGTGACGCACTCCGTCTCCAACCAAGCAACGCAACTTCCCACTTCAGATTAGGTGTCAGATCGAAATCGAACTCTATTCTTATCTTTGACTCGGTGAGTAACTCGGCTTTAACTTCTCCGACGATAGCTCCAATTTCTCCGATTCCCGACTTTCCTAGGTACAAAACACTCTCTACGGCGGGATGGCAACGCCTCAGTTCCTCTCCTCCTTCAAGTACGGCGACAGCCTGACGGTGGTCGGGATCTCGCTCTGCACCGCCGTGGTCTGCGAGGCAATCTCCTGGATCTTGATCTACCGAACAAGCTCCTACAAGTCGCTCAAGTCCTCGATCGACAAAGCTTCGAAGAAGCTGGAGACCATGAAAACCGACACCAACAAGATCGTGACGAAGAAATCCAAGTCCAAGAAGATCAATCGCGTGGAGACCTCGCTCAAGGAGTCGAGCCGCGACCTCTCCCTCTTCAAGTTCAAATCGGGAGCCGTCGTGGCGCTGGTGCTCTTCATCGTGTTCGGCCTGTTGAACTCGATGTTCCAAGGGAAAGTCGTCGCGAAGCTGCCGTTCCACCCGATTGCGCTCGTGAAGAAGATGAGCCACAGGGGATTGCAAGGCGACGACCCGACGGATTGTTCCATGGCGTTCTTGTACTTCCTGTGCTCGATCAGCATCCGTACGAATCTCCAGAAGTTCCTGGGATTCTCTCCCCCGCGTGGAGCTGCCGCAGCTGGATTGTTCCCCATGCCGGATCCCAAAACCAATTGATCAGGTTCGTTTAGTCTGGGTAATTGAAAATGCATCACAGGAACTGCTAGTTGGGGATTTTGGCTAGGTTTCAAGGTCATTGTGGATGGTGCCTGGTAATTTGAGTTGAATAGGCAATGAATGTTCTGATTCAGAAACTTCTGTAATGTTTGTGGTGGATAAATTTGGGGAACATGATGTTTTACTGGATTCTGGTTATTAGGATTATGGCTTAAAGTTACTGAAACCAGATATACATCCGTGGAAATTGCATTTTCTTCTGCAAAGTTTCTCCCTTTCCTCTCTCTGTGTTCGCTCACCATTGCTTAAATTGTTGGTTTGATGGTGCCCTGGATGCTATTTATTCAATTATGCTATGCTCTTCATATTTATGACTGCTCAGAATAGAAGATGAGAACAATGGGAGAAAATTATACAAGGAACTCTTAGCTTAAGTTGTGGGTTGGATTGTTTGACAGTGAGTTCTGTGCATTGAGAGGATGCCTTATGGCTCACAGTTCACTCTATGGGATGCTTATAATGGTAAATTTCCATGGCTCACAGTTGCTATATATGGTTTCCATTTATACGCCATTGCATTCTATTTTGCTGTGTGTGGTTTAGTTATCTATCTGTTGCTCATGGCATCAATGCTGGATTTCTTTATCAGTGGCGTCATAGCTTGCTGCATATAGTTCATTTATATCGCACTTTGATAGCAAGACTTGTGATTTCAGCGTTACAAACACTGTCAATCCGATGATCCATTGGTGCACTCTTTCTTGTGGAGGAAAAAGTGACTGTAGATACTGGTTTTTTCTTATGTCTCTGTTGTAACCTACACCAGTTTCAGGTTCACCTTAACGGCGATGAACCTGTCGGGAGTTCTAGGTTTTGATATGTAAGTTACGTTGCATTCCCATGTTGAAAGGTGGCTCACCACTTCGTTTCTTCGGTCGAACATATTCTAAACCTTCGGGAATCACCTTTCTTCGCTTGCAATTATAATAATATCTTCTTGCTTCTCAGCAGTTGACCTAAGGTTGACACTCCTGCACCCTAAACCACAGTAGGGTTTTAGACATCCATTATTATATTCCTTGTCCATGGTGATGGGATGTTTCACAACAAACCCTTCACATTTGTTAACTTATTTACAGCGAAGGTGGAGCTCTTCATTGGGCGAGCAGTTGCCACTCTCTAGAGAATGGACCTCCCAGCCAGCTTCTCTCCAATGTATAAACTTCTGGGATGTGGGCAACTCTCCAGTAATGTACCTCAGGTTCGTTCAACGACAATTTCTTGATCAAATCACGAGTCGAAGAACTGCAAAACCTTCAGTTTTGTAGTGGCACCTATTCCAGTAACTTGCACCTCTGAATACATAGCTTCTCCACATGTGGCATTGCGCCAACATATATTAGAATGCTCCTCCGACCAATACCCAATAGCTTTTGGTCAGACAAGAAACTAAGCTTGGCGGTTTGGTTATGCGGTTACCCGAGAAACCGCAAACCGTAAAACAACCCTACCCATAGTACAACCAATATAACCAAAACATACCTTAAAATGGCAAAAGCTTGATGAACCTCGATCTCCTTTGTCATATTTTTTGTGCTCATGTTGCTTCTTTATCCTACGAACTGCCTTTGTTCCTCGCCAGCGAACAAGTCAAAGCAGCGAACCGAGACAAAGGTCTTAAGAGATCGTTGCTAATGCCAACGAATCATCTATTTCGTTGATCTCTCCTACAAACCCCTTTCTAGCCCGTTGCATTGTCCAGCGATCCACGCGAAAGTCTTGTAGTTTGGGAAATTACTTGCAAAGTGTTGCATGATGAGAATTTGTTTTAGCAACCATTGTATTGTGGGAAATTTTTCCCTGTTTAAAGGTCTCTCACCGGTAAAGTGTTGTTATTTAATTTCTTTTATATATGGTTGATCAATTAGATGTTGATTGTTATTGATTCTCAAGCACTTATCTTAATGGGAATTTCTCGTATCAATCAAATGATCATCATTAGCGAATGGTTGAATGAAGAATAACAATTAGTTGAACGACACCGAAAAGAATAACCGTTAGTTATAAACCCTAATCCATATGCTAGAAAGTTTATTACTAATGTGCGTTACCAATCGATCAAACATATGTTAACATTTTTTAAGCTTGTTGTATATTGACTGATAGAAAAAATCATTAGTATTATCATGTGTTACTAATCGACCAACTTGGTGTCAATACTATAGTATTAGATATGAGCTTGATAGAGATTAAGGAAGTTTGAAGAGAGATAAGAGATGAGTCTGATAGGATTGGTGGTGTTTGTTTAGAAGATTTGAACGGCTCGTCTCTCGGTTTTTTCTCGAACCTAATTGTGGATTGATGATATGAATATTATGATTCAACAATGAGAAATTCAGGTGAATTATTATTTTTTTTTTGACAAAAGATAATCATTCATTGATCCAAAAAATAGTTACATCCTGGAAATAAAAAGACCGTCTCTCTTAATTGTTCACATATTACTGCTGAATCATACTACTACTTTAATTTCTTAGAGGTTTCTGACTAGTAAAGTGTTGTTATTTAATTTCTCATACATGGTTGATCAACTAGACCTTGATCATTATTGATACTCAAGCACTTATCTCAATGGAAATTTCCCGTATCAACCAAATGATCATAATTAGTGAATGGTCGAATACTTATAACTAGTTGATTGATAAAGGTAAAAATAAGTTGAACGACATCGAAAAGGATAATAATTAGTTATAAACCCTAATCCATATGCCAGAAATATTATTATTAACCTGCGTTACCAATAGATCGTTCATACGTTAACATGATTGTAAATCTTTTTTTACATATTGATTGATTATATTGCAAGAAAAATTATTATTATCGTCGTGTGTTACTAATCGATCGTCTTGGGTGTTAACATTATAGTAAAACTTAATATGCATTGATCGATTAGCAACTTATCATTATCGTAAGTCTCCTAATTAAACTGACGCGATCAAATCTTTAGAAATGAATTTAGACCTACACTGATCTTCAACCCAAAACCCTAAGAAACAACCGTTATTACAAACAAACAGACAAACAAAAAACGGCATATTATATCCAGAGCTAAATCTCCCCGAGAACCCATTGTTAATCGAAAGAACAAGTCAATCTATAACTGTACACAGATCGACATACGTCAATAGTTTCGAATTTCAGATAAACATATATATTTGGTCATACATTCAAACCATATCTTTGAAAAACAAAAGTTGACATATATACCCATAGGCGGTAGGCCATACCCCCCAAGCCTTCTAATTTCTTTCCATATACATATTTGGCATTGTAATGAACATATATTCCCAACACTCTTGGTAACAATATATCCAATTCTTAGACGTCCTTCCTTATATACAAATCTTTCACTCGAGGCCTATCTCAGCCTCGCCGCTACACTTGCACACAATATATATAATCCAACCCGAGCCTGCCTTGCCTTTTTCCATCTCTCCATCTCAGGCAGAAACACAACAAGTACTACCAATGCACCAAACCGCCGGCCCTTCCAATTCCAACGACCAGCTGATCTCCAACCTCAGCTTCCTCCTCACGCTTTTGCTGGCGCTGCAGAGCAGCATGACGAAGCAGCCATCCGATACGCCGTCGTCTTCGTCGTGGGCCGGCCTCGAACCGCCCGCCAACTCCGACCGCGGACTTCTCGAAGTGGTTGCGGCCCAGACCCAGGAGGAGTTGCAGGCCGACATCGAGGCCCGAATCAGCGAGCTCTTACCCGACGAGCCCCCAAGCCCGCGGCCCGGCCCACTACCACCGCTCCAGGTGGTCCCGCTCGCGTCCATCCCGCCCCCGACGCCACGTCAGCACCAGCTTTTTAGGGTTGGAGGCCAGCAGATGTTCGCTCCGGTTATCATGGGGATTCCCCTGCCTCCCCTGCCTCTGCCCCAGCCTCTGCCCCTGCCGTTGCCGCCGCCGCCGCCGCCGCCGACGACGGCGCGGCAGGGTAAGAGGACGTTGTCCGACATCCTCGGCGGCGGCCAGGAGGAGGACGAGGAGGACGCGTGGCGGCGGGACCGGCTCACCAGGAATCTCTCCGGGAGAGTGCAGGGCGTCAATTGCGGCGGCGGCGATGGTGGTGGGGATGGGATTGTTAGGCTGTTTGGTTCGACGATTAGCGGCGGCGGTAGTGTGAATGAGATTAGGCTGTTTGGGAGGCGGATTGTGATCGGTGAAGCACCTCCGGCGTCGGCGGTTGCCGGTATTCCTCCGAGTGGTGAGCATCCTCCGGCTCCAATTATTGTTAGTGGTGATGACAAGATGGACGAAGCGGCGGCGGCGGCTCCGACTGTTATCAATGATGATGACAAGGAAGACGCGGCGGCGGCGGCGGCGGCTCCAATCATTGTTATTGATGACAAGGACTCGGTGGCCGGTTACGGCGGCCCTGCTAGCGTCGACGGCCCAAGTAATGATGGCGACGAGGAAAACCCGCCGCCGGCGGCCCCTGCTGCTGTGGTGGATCCGGAGCCGACACGGCCGCCGAATAATTCGGATTAGTAGATTTTGAAGCTCTAGGGTTTGATTATTATCGCCATGTTATGATGAATTGATGTTGTGATGAGGAATTAATAATGAAGCAACTTAATTCAATTGAATTGAATTGCGTCTCTTTCATGTCTCTTATCGCTACGTGTTTGAAGTTGAATTGGATCTTTTCGTTGGCTAATTGGATGCAAATTTCAGACCTTTCTTCAAAACTTAGCCAAATTTCAAAGAGAACTTTAGTAATGATAAATCAGAATTCGAACTAGTTAGAACTTCCTGCGAAATTTTCACTTGCCAAACAGATTTGATTGGGAGGTTGTGGCGTTGGAATCTTAAGACATAGATTTTGGTTTTAATGCTCATGTGGTATAAAAGAGAGAAAATAATGAGCAGTTTTTAGTTATTTATTGATGAAGTATCATGCCAGAACTGTGAGAATAAAACGTTGAAACATATTTTTAGACCGAAAAATTATTGTTAGTGCGTAATATTAAAAGAGCGCGCTACGTGCATGCATGTCTTACACATATATGTGGTCTTTTAGTAGTTACGTTTATTCATAACCGAATTGAATAATGAATAATTATAAGTACAATCATTATTTTTAATGGAATATTTTATGGTTCGGCAATTGATAGTAACGACGGAGCCACGTGAAATCGGCATATCATGTCATTCTACACGCTTTGAGAAAAGAAAAAAAGAATAGCACATACACCTTTTACAAGTTTAACCTAGGAGTAGAACCTTGACATTTCATCCTGTGTCAACTACACAGTTCACCAAACTAGGTATACGTAGAGGTTGTTTTTTTACAATGCATTTTTTTTTTACGTTCATTGTCGCTTGAGATGCCTAAAGTCTTTATTGTCCAACTCTTCTCGTTGTAAGAAAACTATGATTTAATTTATTTGTACAAGAAAATGTCCCGAGTATGTCACCTATACTTTGTCAGTGATTTTATTTAGTATTCCAAATATGAAATGTTAGATTTTTTTTAAAAAAAGTTATAATTAACTTTCATTTCCTATGGGAAAAAACCTTTATAATGAAATAAGGATATACATAAATTTCATAAATTAAAATGGCAACTATTAATGTAGCAACTATTATAAGAAAAACAAATAAGTAAAATGACATCCATGCATATAAAGGAAAAATACATATTTGGGCGAGTGAGTTGTTATTCTATATATGATCAAAAGGTTACCTACCATCTTTACTTCATTTATACATTGAAAACATCCGAAAAATGATGTGCAAAACTCACGACTTTCATACACTTGAAAATATTTTATATTCGGAAGTAATTAGAAAAAAAGATGCATAGGCTACACTATCCTGAGTGCGGATCCTGCGATTAAGGGATAAGTGACTAAGTTCTTAGATTTGGACACATCAATCCAATGGTTAAAAAATGAGAAAGACTTTTTTAATTAATAACAGGGTTAGTTTGGGTATTATGAAAAATTACGAAAAATACAAAACGGATTTACAAACCGTACAAACTAGAACGACAAAACATACTAACAATAACAGATTTACAAACATCACAAACATAATGAACCGTACAAGCAATACAAACTACATCGACAAACAATACAAACCATAAAAAAAAAAAACAATCAGGTTGACTTTGGAGACTCCATCCTATATAGAGGGCTCCGTCCCAAAGTCAACCCGGTTGTTTTTTAGACATACAAACATTACAAACGTGGTGGAAAAAAATGACAAACTAGACCGACAATTCATACAAACTGGAAAAACACCCAGGTTGACGTTGGAGGCTCCATCTCTATATAGAAGAGTTTCATCCAAAAGTCAACCAGGTTGTTTTTTAGACATAAAAAATATTACAAATATGGTTGACAAAAATGATAAACATGGTGCACAAAAATAACAAAGTTTACAAACATTACAAAAGAAACCGACAAACATTACAAAAAACGGAAAAATAGTACAAAATGTCACAAAAAAATGACAAACAAGAATGATAAACATTACAAAATAGATCAACAAACATCACAAATATAGCACTGTCGCCGAAAATCCTTCTTCGTCGGCGCTGGTCGCTGGGATGTCTCCTTCGGTTGCTAAAAAAGTCTCCTCCGATCAGCAAAACTCTCTCTCTCTCTCGGTTGGGGAATTGCAAAGTTCCCAGAAAAGTGCCGAAAAGTTTTGGCCGGCGGCGGGAGTGACGAGACGAAAGCTCCTCGCGGGGAAACGGACAGGCCTTCGGTTGCCGGAAAAATCTCCTATGATCAGCAAAGCTCTCTCTCTCGGGTGGGGAATTGCAAAGTTCTCAGAAAAGTGCCGGAAAGTTTTGGCCGGTGGCGGGACGGACGAGACGAAAGCTCCTCGCAGGGAAACGAACAGGATTATTAAATAAAAAATTATTAATGCAATTACTAAATTATTTAATAATTGAAAATTAAAAAAATCATGCAATTACTAAATTATTTAATAATTGAAAATTAAAAAAATCATGCAATTACTAAATTATTCTTAATTAAAGTGGATTAATTACCACCATAAGATTTTAATGAGTTTGGAGGGAGAGATTCACGTAGTCACATGACTAAGGAGACCCCCCTTAGTCACCTGATCTTAGCCCCATTATCCTCACTAGTAATTATAAAAAGTAATGACAAAACTCCGTATATTTGGAAATAATCACAAAACCATCGCACTTTAAAAAAAAAAAAATCGCCTAGGCAGCTCTTCCACATAATGGAGAAATTAGGCCACTCATCATCAGCATCAACAATTGTCAATTGACTGTATTCAACCAGCAGCAACTGATCGTATTCCAAATGCGCCCGACGATGTAAGCAACACAAACATCTTCGGCGAGCCCCTCCGGTACCACGAATTTGAAGTTCTCGAATCATTCGATAAAAGGCGCAGTGACGACAATGATAAGAAGAAGATGATGATGATGTTGGTGCGTAAGGATGAAGAGGGAGAAGGGGTTTTTGAGCTCCCGCCCCATTATTATTCGAAATATAACAAGAAGCCACAAGTAGTTACTTCTAATTTAAAGGTGAAGAATCGTATCAGCAACCTGAGTATAAGAGATTGAAAGAATAGAGGTGGAAGAGAAACGATGCGGTTCTTCGTGAAGCACTGAACTGATGAAGTCGATCGGAAAGAAGAATGGTGCCGGCGGTAACTATGCTGATCGGAACGAGGTTGACTTGAAGCTGAAGTTAGGGCATTGATCATTTGTTATTCTTATTTATGCACATTGGTTTTTTGTTCTTTTATTTGGGTTCATTCTTCATGCTCGAAATGTACCCCACACATAGTTGGGCCAGGCAATTTTCTTTTTGTTGGTCTAGGCCTGGGAATTGCTTTGAATCTTTCCATGTTCACTTAACATACCAACGACCCAACTTCAAACCAATTAATAGTCTTCAATTAGATGATGGATGGATGCAATTTACAAACAAACACGGGTTAAATATCAGCTGTTCATCATTACAGTGATAACTGTACACGCAAAATCAAACATCATATGAGAACCCAACACACAACAGCACTACGAGTTTCCTTTTTCGTTTTCGTTCTTTTTTTCATGGTGGCTTTTTTCAAAAAAAATTCCCCTAATACTTACATTGACATTCGACGGAACCAAAGAATCGAGAGACGAAGCACAAACAACCCGGAAAAGAAAAAAAAAAACATAAGAAAAACCCAATCCACCCGTCATTTCCCACAATTTCAAAAAACCCGCCACTTGGCTCAAATACGTACAGTTCTTCAAATGCCGAAACCTTCGATCCGGAGCAAGTCGTTTTCTGGACCAGGAGCAGCAGCAGCAGGAGCCTCCAATTCCGCATTGGCATGTGCCTTTTTCAATTTGGCCACGAGTACCCACATGTTGGCTAGCTCATTCTCTAGGTATGCTTCTCTTTGTTTAGATTCCTCGACCTTCCTTTGGAGCTCTGTCTCCCTCTGCTCCTTCTCGACAAACGCAGCTTCGTATTGGGCTTCTCTATCCCGGAATGCGGCCACCTCTTTCTTGAGATCTGCAGTGAGTCCAGTAGCTGCTTGGTGATCAAGACGCTTCCCTTGAGTCTCTCTCCTTCCATTTCGCAATGTGCTACCTCCGGTGCTGTTTCTGCGATGAGTAGGAGATGAGGTCTTCGCAGCTGCCAGCTCGGCGGAGAGTCTATCGTTTTGATTCATGAGTTTTGCTACTTCCTCGGATAATGCTTTGAGCTCAACAGCAGCAGCAGAGGCTAGTCCTTTGGCATAGGTGCTCTCTTCTGCCAGTTTATGATTCCGATTGTCTAGCTCGTGTTTTGCGTCAGACAACTGGCCGACCTTCTGCTTCAGTTCTTCAATCTCGAAAGCCTGATTTAAGAGGGAAAATGGGAGTGCACTACAAATAAGAGCAACTGCATTGACAGACTAAGATATACTGAATATCTAGCAAGGTAAGCAAAATGAATGCCTTTCATTTCAATATGGAAATTCAATGCAAGTAAACAAAATGGGGAAATTGCATGGCTAATAAAGCAGAAAGAAAATAAACCTGTTGTTGCAGTAGTAGCAGTTGCTCATTTCTCTCTTTAGAGTCTGGAGTTTCCTTATCCATATGACTTTGGATATGAATACCTTTCATTTCAAGAAACTGTTGGGCGTGACTGTCCAACGGGCTATGATTTCTTTGATCTAGTGCATCTGCAAGCTGATGCTTCAATGATTCGATCGTTTCCTGCTGCTGCTTACATTCCAATATCTGCACAACGAGCAATTTCCAGTTTAGGAGGTGCGACCCACTATTACAGGAAGCTTAGCATACTTTTACACGAGTTACTATTTTCGAGGAAAAATTATTTTTCATACCTTTTCATTGAGCTGCTCTTGAATTATACGATTATCTGCAGCTTTGACCTGAGGAAAGTGAATTTGGACAAGAAAGAATATACACAGTTAGAAACGGGAAACACTATATAGAAATCCTAAGACAAGCTGGATGTTGCGTCGTTGGCTCCGAAACCCAACTGAATTTTATGCCCTTAAGATGAAGTAGAGGTGAACATGGTAACAAGGGCAATATTCGTGCCCACAGTTAGGCTTATCTGGCTAGTAGAAAGTAGAAACAAAGGACAAGCAAGATTCGATCTACCCTACTACCCTTAACAACAAATGACAAGAAAAGTCGAGGACCCTAACAACCTAGCAGAGGACAGCATTTTTTATAGAAATGTAAGAGAATAATAACCTCGAGGTCAAATGACTTCTCATTCAATTGTGTTGTGAGCTCAGCAAGCTTCTGCAGAAGGAGAGAGGGGATAAAATCAAATGTATCCACAAAACATAAGCAGTAGCTAAGCAGCCAATAGACTTACTTGCGTAACATCAAGTTCATCCATTCTGTTGGGCGAGCAGATTAGTGATTCAGAAATTTGCTTTTCCAGTAAAGAAATATGTTCATTCTTCATCTTGATATCATCGCTAAGCTTCTTGATCTCCAGCTTACCAATTCAAAAGACACATTTGAAATCACATTGCCATCAGGAAGATCAGAAAAATAACAAAGGCACTGGAGAAAATAAGTACTTGGATGTGTTCCTTCTCGGGATTCTGTGAGGCTTCCTCAGACAATCGCTTCAAAGCACTTGAATGGAGCGCCACCTCTCCGGACAAAATCTTTTGCTGCTCTCTTAGAAGGTCAATCTGATCACTAGTTTTTATGCTAGTCTAGAAACAAAAGAGTAGAGACAAAGGAAGAGCAGCGAATTCAGACCTGTAGCTATTTTTACATTGCTGTACTCGGATACCTAAAGTGAAGATATTGAAACCAGGAAAAAAGGACTTGTCGGTTTACCGAAGGAGTTTCATGCCCAAGGAGAGTGTCATCTGGAGTATCTCTATCTTGTACAACATCAGAATGAAGCTCCGCTGAGTGTGAAAAACTTTCCATGAGTAATGAGTGTACATGGCGGGATTCTGAGTGGGGATTACTATTTTCTGCTTGAGGTGTTGAAGGTGTGCTATTCACTCCACTTGATCTATCACTGGCACTTGTTCCCAGACTGTCACGTTTCTGAGATGCATAGATATGGCATGAATGAAGAGTAAATATAGGTTTGCAAAATAAATATCCATTACGAGACAAAATTCAGAAAACATTCTATTATGTTTGTTCTAGTGATACAGGTATTTGTCAGTAGTGTGAAGGTGGTTACTAACTGAGAGGTACCACGTCTGAAACTACATCCAGTCTTACGACAATAAATATCACCATTTGGCAAGATAGACTAAGTTGTATGGTGCCAAATTCATAAGGGTCGACAATAAACCACAAAATATTGTTTGAAGGAAAAAAGCAACTTAGTAGAGTAATAGCAAATATACCCGTAGTTTCAACCAATTCAGCAATCCGTTCTTTTTGGTTTTCTTTTCCTCTTTAAGGGTGCCATCGACAGTTTCAGCATTCCCTTCAAGGGAAACATAGAAGTCAACGTTCTCTTCCTCAAGTATCAAATCCCGCCTTTTGTAGGGTAGATATGCAAGCTGCAAAGTAGAAGAAAGCGAAGAAAAGTAAGAACAAATTTCACAGAGAGAATGGATAAATCATGTACGTGTAAAGTACCCCATTAATTTCACAGAATGTAAAATTACCGAACTATTAGGTCAACTGAATCAGTCAATCAGAATAGAAAGAACCTCCCAAAAGAATGTAAACGCGAAAATCTTGTACAAGAATTTAAGTAACTATACCTCTTCTTCTCCAAAGGAATGTCTCCTTCTTGGAAGAGGCCGGTACGGAACCCGTGACGGTTGGGAACCTTTGCTTGAGACCAAAATTAACTTAGTCAACCGTTGGATCCTGCTCAGTAAAGCAGCTTTCGCTTCTTCTTCTTGTTCCAATCTAGATTGCAGCTTGACTTGACCATCTTCCAGCTTCATATATCCCATAATTAAAAAAAAAATGTAGTATGAGTCTGTGAGAAAGATAACATGGAGCACAAACGTTCTCGCACTTGGATCAACCATCTAAGCAAAAGTTGTCACAGATGTCGAAATCTCTGTAGTTGTACCTTCTGCTTCAAAATAACAATGTCATCTTCAACAATGTTTTGCAGTTGTGGAACCGTCCCAATACCCCTCTTCAGTTGTTCCAACTCTTCTTTCAGACAACGTATCTCATTTTGATATTTCTTGATGAGTGATTTCTCATCAATAATCTGCAAAGTTGATAAAATGTTAACCCAAATCTGAAAGGACAGCTGCATACAATTAAGGGTTGGGAAAGAGAGAATGCCTTGTTCTGTGCTGCTTGTATTTCAATATGCTTTGCACGGTGAGCGAATTTCAAAGTATTATGCGTCTCTTCAGAGCTGCTTGATGTAGGAGTTACGGTGCAAATCAGCTAGAGTTTTGAAGCAGAATAACAAAAGGAATAGCATCTTTGAGTTAGACATACTATGTTACAAGGGGAAAACACCAATCAATGGTCAAAACGAAAAGCATGAATGTGCAGATTTCCTGTATTCAAAGAAGTTATAAAGCCTTACTGATACACGTCCAAGACCACTTAAAGAAGATTGAAGGAGCCTCGTCAACTTTGAGTCTCTGTATGGTATGTGAGTTGCCCTGGCTTCTGTCAACTTAGATATAACCTACCAAGAATTTCCAAGCTTATCAACCATAAAAAATAGTAATGTATTATAGGTAATAAAACTACACATGGAAACATATTTATGAACCACAGCAAACCAAATCATCAACAATGACTCTGGTTACTCAATCTGATTGAAAATCAACATCACATGAACAGAATAGCAGTAGATGCACAAAATCATGTCTTTTAGCTAGTTTCGCCAATCAAATCGCAAGTTGAGCAACAGACAAAATACTGAACTGGAAACTAGAAAATACATAAATGCAACATTCATCAGGCAAGGCAAGCGTTCATCACGTGGTCAAATTAATGCAAAACAATCAGGTGTCAAGCTACAGGGTTATATGAATGATAAAAGCTTACTGTCCCAAGAGTTAGAAGGCTCTTATTTATGTACGCTCCTTCTTTACGCCTCATCCCTATAGTTTCAGCCTTTGAGCTCTCAGAACCTGCGAGATCGATGAGGTTCTGCAGGTACAAGAAAGAGGCAGTTATAAGAAAATTTCATATGAAATATACAGAACCTCGAATCCTTGTATTTCACAGGTGGACAACAAAAAACCAAGCTTAAGATGTTCAAGATGTAACATTTGCATCGGAAACAACAATGGCCTTGGCAGTTACCAATTGGGAGAGATTCACAGCTTCTCCTTCACAGTTTTCTCCGCATGGACTACTCTCTATTGTCTGTAATCAAGGTTTGCAAGATAGAATTGAGAGGAAATATACAAAAGAGATGCATACATAAACCAGTAAGAACATAACAAAAACTGTGGGGGTCCTCGTTACAGCATATGAATGAAACTTAATTGTGCTTGTATCTAATTGCATTAAGGCTTTTATATTCCTCTTTAGAAGTGTTTACATATATTGTTAATATTATACAGCTAAAAACAAATAGACCAAAATTTCATGCCACAGCAGCAAACTCATTAAAATTACCAATGTGAATATGGTATGACTTCTGCTGCTGAGAAGATTAAAGTTCGTGGAACCAACATGTCTGTGCTCTGCCCCAAAAGTGAAAACATAATAACACAAAGACATGTAAGATGAGTGAAAAAAGAGTTGGAATCGTACTTAACGTGGATAGAATGCACATGCAGATGCACGCACGAATAAATATGGGAAGAAAGATAAAGAAACGTTATACTACATTCCATAATATCAAATTGGTAGAGAGTTGTTCGTCTTTACGAAGTGGATAATAATTGGTAGAGATGCACGTATTAATAAATATGGGAAGACAGTTAAAGAAATGTTATACTACATTCCATAAGATCTAATTGGTAGAGCTGATTGTATTTGCCAAGTAGATACTAAACTGGAAAGCTGGTATCAGAATGGTCATGAATAGAACACTACAGAGTTCAACCTAAAACCTAACTCCAACTTTTACGCATCCAACTATCTTTCACACATTTACTTATCAGTGTTCTTAAGTACCAGGGTTGTATGACTAGGGGGCGAATTCCCAGTTTTACTAGGACACCAACAATAAATTACTTACTAACACGTTAAAGAAGATACCTTCTCCAGCTGCAATAAGGGAAAGGCAATGAGCAGGGGATAATACAACTTCTTCCTTAATTCCTTCGACAAAGGTTCCCTACAGATATCAATGAACAATGATAAGTTAATTCTCTATTGAAAAACATCACCACAGAACCTACACAAACATAGGATGGCTGAACCACGTAGAAACAAGCTGAATTCACCCAAGTTTTTAAGCTTGACACATAAGAATAAGAAGCAGAAGCTTCTTCAACATTCTAGGAAATGTAGCATACTTGTAAACAAAATAGTAAAGTACCAGCTTTGGATGGGTAAAACCTCATGTCGCAACATGAAAAGAATTATTCAGACTCACAAACTGAACAGATGGTTCTTTATGATTTTGACAGGACTGACAGTTCAAGTCATTCACAAGCATTTCAGTCAAAACTGGAATAGCTTACAATACTACACTAGAAAGTGCACTTTAGTCAGTTAAGTATGGTCATGCCTAGAGGTTGGCCTAGTGACGATGAAGAAAGACAAACATTAAATCCACCCTGCGTTCAATGTTGGGTGCAGCATCAAGTGTGAAAAGAAATATGGGCATGCCTAGTTACTGACTGTGTTCTGAACCATTTTTGAGAACTCTGACAGGAATATTTCTTACTCCGTAACTTCTCTTGATGAATGTATCAGAACATAGACTGCACGGGGGGAAAAATACCTGAGCATCTTCTCTGATTCTTAAATTTTGTCCAGCTGGGTTTAATAAATCGTTCACAACCTGAAATCAAGAAAACCATAAGATAAAACAGTGAGCAACAAGAAGACTGTAGCTGACCATTGGTTTTTAAGACGCATAATATGGTCAAAACTGAATAAGTACATGACAAAGCAAGAAGCTTACCTCATTATAAATCTCTAAGTATGAAACTCGAAGCAGAAACTCTCGGTTTGGAGTCTAGAGGTTATGGTAAAATATTAGAGGGCAAGGAATCGGGAAAAAAGGCAGGAAAAAAAGTCATGAGCCCTAAAATTTTACAGCAAGAATACTCGAGCAAATTACCTCTTGAATAATGCTAAAAGCATCTTTTACTGCCAATGGTATAATTCCTGGAGACCTCTGATCGCCCTGTCAATTGCACATATTGAATGGCTATCATTCAAGTGTTTGAAAAACTGAAGAAAATCCTTGGAGAGTACCATAAATAACTCATCCACATTCAACAAGTATGTTTCTCTAGAGACAAGGGTGAATTATGCTTTTTACAGAAGATGCATCCATGTACTAGAAGTTAATGCCAGGGCAGCGAAAGATCAACTTGAACACCGAAATCAGAAATCTTATTCAATTTGAGGGGATCAGAATTAAGCACCAATGTCATTGGCGTCGAGCAAGATATGAAAATATTGATTTCTCCTCATTCTATATTTACAAAATTTCCATTCACAACATACGAAGTAGCAGACACAGTTGAATGTACAATTATGCATGAATCTACAAATGTCTAATACTAAATCTTACATGCATTGTGTGTGTTTTTCCACTGCTTGTGACACCATATGCGAAGATTGTGCCTGTAAGAACATTGGAAGCAAAAAAAACACCGCAGACCTGTTATTAAATAGGGTAATATCATTCATTCAAGAAAAAAACAGGGAAACATCATTATCATTTACCATTGACGCCTTCCATGGAACCACTAACAACATGATGGGCAGCAACATCATATACATGTCTCGTTGTAGTTGTAGGGCCAAACACACGATCTAGGAGACCATGAATGCAAAGTACATTAGTTTTTTGTTTCATCAGCTAACATAATTAGCTGAAACCGATACACCATAGATGAGCTAATGAAGTCCAATGTACGTAGGATACATAATTTAATCCATTTTAGCTCACAACAACATTTAGACATAACTAGCAACATGTATGTAGTATAACAATCTCTCGTTCATGCAACAATAGAGAATTCCTAATAGGAACAAGCCCCTAAACAATCAAGCACAGTAGAGTAAATTCTGTTGACCAATTCATAGTAGGAATTCAACTACACAAATGCAGGAATAAACCTATTGGTAAATAAACAAAACACAAACAAAAAAGTGTATATTTGGCTTTAAGTTCTGTACAACTTCCATTCTCCCATCAGCAACTCAACACACTAATCTTGGATCTTGGACAATAAGATGTTCAATTGCACACTCTCTCCCTAGACGTTAACGGTTTCCAACAACAAAACATCTAAGGCTCTTCCAGAAGAACCCCATTGAACGATCCTTGGTGGTTGCACTGACTCAACTCTACTAGAATTGCATCCCACACTAAAAGTTCATCAACATTGCATCACAAACAATTCAAGAATCAAACAAATTCCAGGCAAGTAAAGCAGAAAGTTTACCATAAGCGTAGGCAATCGAAGTATTATGTTCATTCCGTACAATAGTTTCCCCGTCAGCGTACCAGGCAACCTCCTCTCCCCGGCGAACTTCCCTCTGGCTGCCTCATCAACAAGCAAATTGCTTCAGCGCAAAGCTCAGTGAATCGCTTAGAAACGCAAAAGAAATAGGATAGAAATCAGAGGAAACCTGAGAGGACGAAATCGAACTGTGACGGTCACATTCTCCTTGGATCTTCCACCATCCATAGGCGGAGCCTCGGAGTAGAAGTACTGCGGCTTGCTGCGAGCAGAGGAAGATGCAGGGGAGCTCTGGCCGTCGATTGAGGTCTCGGGGAAGTGCTTGGAGGAAGAGGTGGTGGAGGAAGAGGGGGAATTCGCAGCCTTACTGGAGCCAGCGGAGCCTAACTTTTTGGATTTTGATCCGCTTCTGGACGCCATTACTCGAACACCAAACGGAAAAAGCCAATCCTATCCCTCCCCCAGCTACCAAACACATAAAGGAAAGACAAATAAGAAATTGAAGAGAGAGAAAGAAAGAGAACTCAGTGAGCTGGCTTGACCATGGGAAAAAAAGTAGAGCAGAACAGCGAGAAGAAACAGAAACAGAAACAGAAGGAAGAGACGTCGAGAATGCGAAGAACATTCCCGAAGAAGGCAACAATGGCCGGATGGACGGAGAGAGACTCCGTACATGCAAAAAATGAAATCCAACAGCACAGAAAACGCTGGAGAGGTAAGAGAGAGAGAGAGAGAGTGCGTACCTGCTTTGCGAGCTTGATTTTGTGTGCGCTGGTGGAACAGAGATCTTGTCGTTGGGAGCAGGGAGAGAGAGAGAGAAGAAGACGAAGGAGGAGGACTGGGAAAGCGAATCGATGGCCTAATCGGATCCACCAGCAGCCGGGGAAGAGGAGAGTAAGAGAGAAGACGCCATCATGGTAATCATGGCGGTCATCATTGTCAGCACCATAATTACTACGACCAGGAGTTGGTTGGTGCTACTGCTGCTGCTGCTTCTTCTTCTTCCCCTCCCATGGCGACGAAGGAGAGAAAATGCAAAAATGAAATGGTTAGAGAGACTGAGGGTGGACTGGATTAAGTGCTTGCCTTGGAAGCAATGAGATGCCCTAAATCAAAGGGCGGCTTTTTCTCTCTCTTGCCCATTAGCGGTTACGGTTTCTGTCTATTTTACTTTACCCTTTGTTTCCGGGCAGTGGGTGGTGGTGGGAAAATGGACCGGCAGGCAGGCGGGCAGAGGCACGGAAGGGAATAAATACGGTGAGAGACCGCATTAAAAATGTATTTTTACCTACTCCGACTTTATGGGGTGGAGTATTTTCTTTCGCAATGTTTTTTTACCTTTTTGCGGTCGTGAGGTAGCTTTTCCCTTTTTTTACTCTTCAAAGTCAAGATAGTCGTATCTAGCATAAAACAGAGAATACGGAATCTACCCCATCCTCTCTTTTTTTCCTTTTGGGCTCAGCAGGTAAACAAAAATTCATGGGCTTTTGGCCTTTTTAGTGTTGTTGAAAAGTAAAATATGCTACAGCCTACAAGAAAAGGGGAAAAGTTGGGGGGACTCACTCACCGTGCCGCCGGTGATTCAACCGGCAGCGTATCACAGGACTCACGCTGGGGTTGGGGACCGGGGATTTTTTTTTGGGAGCTGGCGGGAGCTGTGGGTCCCATTTACGCAGCTTTCACGACGTGTCGGGCGTGGAAGTTGGGGATTAGGGTGGACTCTTCTTCCAGCTCAGATTACCCTCTCCCGCTACAAAACAAGGCTTCTGTTACCGAAGGGTTAAAGCCCAAACTATTTTTATGATTTTACTAAATATCATTGTAAATTTAACTAAATTGTTCTTTATAATTTAACAATAAAACAAATAATCAATTCAAATATATATTCTCTTTTAAGTCCTACGGTGTACCTATCAATATTCCATACACACAGAACCGTCGGACTCGATCAGATTTTTGGCGACGAACTAGAGCCAAAAATAGGTCGGACCGAAGGTTGGTTTCATATGGACACACAGTAGAACCAAGGATATAGAGTTCGTTTGAACTCGGGTAACGGTAGGCTTCGTTTCGACCTGGGGCCAACCGAAACTCGTACTCCGTGCGGCCATGGTCCAAACGAAGCTCACCTTGGATTTAGCCTTGGGATTTTTGGCTTAGCTTTCGGCCGATTTCTCACTTGATATACTTCATCGAAAAAACATTCACGATTTCATCGCTCATCTGATTTTGAATTGTCTTTTCACGCTTGTCATCGCAGTAAGTGATCTTTCAACACTTGCAATGACAAATAGTAGCAACAAACTCCTTAAATTTTGAGTTTTCATTTATATTAAAGTAAATTACATAATATATGAACTAAAAGTTAAAAAGAGATAAAATATTAGGGTAATATCTATTTTTTTATCCAAACGTTTTTCAGATTTTTTTTATATTATCCAAACCAATTAAAATGCTATTAATTAGCCAAACGTTTTATAATGCATCAAAATGTTAGTCATTTTTACTTTATTGTTAATAATTTTGTAACACTTTTCTTAGTTAAAATACTAAAATTCTTGAATGTTGATCTTCATGTGTCTCTTACAAGTCAGTATAATGTTGCCAAGTCAATATTACTAACAAAATTGCTAAATGGAAGTTCACATTTGACTAATTTTTAGTATTTCGATAGATTTGGCTAATAAAAAGAAGGGCAATGTCTATTTTTTACCCAAACCTTTTTCAGATTCTTTTATTTTAACCAAACCTATTGAATTCCTAAAAATTATCCAAACGTTAACTCTCCGTCAACTTTTCTGTTAGTAATGCTGACTAAGTATGACCATAATGAGTTGACTTCCTACGTGGCGGTCAGAATACCATCATTTACTATTTTGGGTTAATACCCTAGTTTGGCCCCAAGTTTAGCATAAGTGTCAGTTCTGGCCCCATTTTTCAAATAAGACATTTGTGGCCTACTTTTGAAATTATTGGACAAATTTGGCCCGCATTTTGAATTGACCGTCAAAATTGACGGTCAACCATTTTCTCCGTAAGTGACTCAACATACACTGCTGACTAGGATGTCCACATCATTTAAAACTAAAAAAAAAAAGGCCAAACGAAACCCTTTCCTCATCTTCTTCCTCTTCTAACTTCCACCTCCACCCATTGTGAAATCCTTCCTCCAATTTCCTTCCCCCAAATTTCTTTCCCCATCCTATACGTCAAGCAGTCCCTTTCTAAACCCAAATCAGAAATTTGATATAATTAAAAACAATAGTTACGCCCGAAAACAGTTTGGACTTTGGACAAATGGGGAGCGAGCCACTCTCGGATCCAAACAAGAAGTATGTGTAAGCTTTTGTCTCTCAATCCCTAGCTGCCTCTCGCCGTCGCCATCCCTGGCTGACTTCCTTCTATCAATGGCGACCCTCGTCGTCAGAGTCAAGCCACCACATCTTTTCCCTCTTTTACTCTACTCCAGATCTGGGTCGGGGATCTGAATTAGTTTTGAAAACCGAAGAACCCAAACCCAAAATTTCAGTTCTGGGAAATTGTTTGGAGAGACGACCATTGACAGCTGCTTCTTCCAAGGAGAGACGACCATTGGCATACTCCTCTCGCCGGACACACGCGCGTCGCTTTGCCGCACCGCCAACGCCACCAACGCTCCTCGTCGCCTTCGCTTCCGTGGAAGAGTCTCCATCACGAGTTCGACGAGGAGAGGGATATGGGCAATCAAAGGGCAGCAGCTTCTGATCTTGTGGACGGGATCTCAATGGAGCACCAGCAAAACCGGACGGACAAGAAAAATGGTAGGGGAGATGGAGCGGAGGTAGCCGAAGATGAGAATGGTGGCGAGTATGGGGTTGTGATGATGAAGATGTTTGGGATTCCTATTCGGTGGGGAGGGGAGGGACTCAGGGGATTGGAAAGTGTATTTTGGTTTTTTGTTTTGTGTTATTTTATATTTTTTGTTTTTAATTTTTTAATCTAAATAAATGGTGTGGCAGCCACCTCGGATCCACCTCTGTATTTTGATGCTGAGTCATCGACGAAAAAATAGTTGACCGTCTATTTTGACGGTCAATTCAAATCGTAGGCCAAATTTGTCTAATAATTTCAAAAGTGGGTCATAAATGTCTTATTTGAAAAATGGGGCCAGAACTGTCACTAACGCTAAACTTCGGGCCAAACTAGGGTATTAACCCTACTATTTTTAATAAAAAGATTATCAAAAAACAAAACAAAATCCCACCTCTCACGTGGACGAAATAAGTAACGGTAACAGAATGAATGGCCAGACTTTGATAAATTATAATACGTTTGGATAATAAATAGAATTTCTATAGGTTTGGTTAAAATAAAAGAATCTGAAAAAGGTTTGGGTAAAAAATAGACATTGCCCTAAAAAGAATCCGAAAAAGGTTTGGTTAATAAATAGTCATTACCCAAAATATTATTTTTTTCGTAAAGTTATTTACAACAATAAGGAGATCTTGTATTCAATTAACAGTCACATAAAAAATTTACTACCATATTCTTCGAGCTAAGGTGGTGAATATGGCCTACCTTGGTCTCAAAGGGCTCTGCCACTGGATTCGGTCAAACCATTTCAAACCTGCTTTATTTCGATTCGGGACAAACCGAACTAAAATCACGTGGGATATAGTTCGGCTAAAAAAAGCTGAGGTGTTTAGGGTGTTTTTTTTTTGTTCAATTCGTTTGATTGAAGCCACCAAATGTCCACCCCTACTGGAGGATACCGGCTTATGCTCTGCTATGCGCGATTACGAGGCAGTGCCACGAACATCTTAAAGAGAGAAGACTGATATGCTATAAAATAGGGGCCAAATTCAGCTAGTAGACAACCAAGATCGTATTGTCTCATGACATTTGAATCTCGCTACTCAGATAGTAAGGGCTTTGTTCTTGGATTGAAAATCGAGTCTTTGTGGTAGAGGTGCCCCTCGAACTTATTTTTAAAATAAAAGTGCAGGAAATAAAACAAACTAAAACTAGACGAGAGAAACAATAGGGAAGAGTGTTGCATAGGCAAACTCCCCCCAGAATTTTGCTAGATTTGTTCTATAATGATAGGCAACTAAAAAATATAGGTGATTAGGGAATTCACACTCTGCTCACTAGTTAGGTCGTTTGGATGTGGAAATGTAATGTAGTAATTGGACCCAATTACCACATAATGCAGTAATTGGGTTAAAAACCCACGTTTGGGAGAGCAAACGAACAAGGGCTTGGTCTAGTGGAAATACCACTAGCCTAGAACCTGGAGGTCCCAGGTTTGAATCCCTTAAGTAGTACCTTAATAACAACAAAATAAAACCTATATCACCCTTATAAAAAAAAAAAAAAAAAGAGATAGCTACCTTTTGTAAATGGTGACCTAACAAGGGAAATGGCACCTAATTAAGGTGTCATTATGGTCGCCATTCTTCCCTCAAGCTTACGATTGCTTCTGGTATGTGGTGAGTTGCTCTAGAGGTAGAATAACCCCCTGTAAAGACTGGTCTTCAAATGCTGGTCGAGATGATCTATGTATACACCTTTTCATAAGGCTTTCTTAGAGATCTTCTGGGAAGGTAACCCTTTTGATCTCAAATCTTCGAAATACTTTCAACTTAATGCTCCATTAGGAAGGAATATCTAATCGAACTAAACTGAAATAAACCTTATGGAAAATGTGCCCGAGCCATTTTTTGTCGACAATTTGGGCTGTCATTCTGAACTTTGAATTCCAATTCCATTTCTGACGTCCATCCTTCTAGTCCTAATGTCTCTAGCTTGTACAAGGTATTCCACTAGAGTATCATTACAGGAAAATGCACAAAATACTATCCAGAAGGTATAAAAATTGTGAAAACATCCCTAGAGGAGAGGTAAACTCACCTTTGAGCAATTACCAAGAAAATCCAAGTCAATATGGAAAAATATATGCTAAAGTCATGTAATACATGCCATGAAATATAGTTGTTAAATGTACATCTTATGTGTCATCAAATAACCATATACTTGAAATTTGCTTGTCCCCAACTAAACCATACTCAAAATCATACAACTCACTTGACCTTTATGATAACACATAACTTTGGATCGTAGCCGTAGGTAGTGGATCATAAGCAACTTACAAGGTCAACTCTCGCACTTAGAGAACCAGACCACATTAGTGAGCTACTGATAACACAATATTTGTACATGTTTTCCCCACAAGTCTTGATCGTTTAGCTTGAC